AAAAGTGGTCTCGATAAAGTGGTCTTGAAACACGCTATATTGCATGCATACAATACACTGTATTTTGGAAAAAAAATGAAATTAAGCCGTTTCCATTTTGATAGTAAAATGAAATGGAAGAGTCTGTGCAATGGATGTCTGGAGCAGGAATTACGAATTGTGTATTATATATATGATATATATATATATCAGGAGTAGATAATAGGGAGGAGTGTGACATCAATAAACAAGGGAAATTCGTCATTTACTAGCCTTATAATACCTACGATTTACTACACGTAACTCATCCAACTTGAGCTCAAATCGGACACAGTACATTCGCCCATCATCGTACGAAATCGTTTCCTCGTAGACACCCGCAATCCGTAGATACAGCCTAAAACGTATGACACGATTCTCCATTCTCTGGCCATCAATCCAACCCAATGCGCGCCTATAATTCAAACAAAAGGCAGCTACCTAACGCGCTATTGCTAACTGAGCGAGGCATGTGGCTCGCTGGGAGATTAGGCATCAACACTCGGCGAGATAACCTTTGACCCGGTACACAGCTACACAGGCCACCTTTGACCCGGTACACAGCTACACAGGCCACCTTTGTACATAGCTGGCATGCCTTCACGCACGCACGCCAACCAAATGATTAGCTCGTCGAGTGTTGCGTCGATCTCCAATCTCCCTGCGAGCCACAACGCCACATTCAGCTATCCATGTGGCTATCCGAGAGAGCAAACACAGCGACTGCGTGCCAGGTTGCTGCCTTTTGTCTGAATTATAGGCGCGCAATGGGCGTTGGATTAATGGCCAGAGAATGGAGAATCGTGTCGTACGTTTTAGGCTGTATCTACGGATTGCGGGTGTCTACGAGGAAACGATGATGGGCGAATGTACTGTGTCCGATTTGAGCTCAAGTTGGATGAGTTACGCGTAGTAAATCGTAGGTATTATAAGGCTAGTAAATGACGAATTTCCCTTGTTTATTGATGTCACACTCCTCCCTATTATCTACTCCTGATATATATATATGTGTGATGCGACCAACAACTCGAAATTGTGCTTTGTGCTACAGGACCCTGTATAATATTTGGGCTGCCCAAATGTGTAGCTTAGGTGGCTTGGAGTCCAGGAGAAAGCCTGCGAAAAATTGCGTTTAATGGGTTGTATTGATTTCAGTTCTGTTAATCGATAAAAACCGCTTGCTCTGTGAGTGACTGTGCAAATAGAGACAGGGGGCATACAGGCTAACGTGCAGGAAGAAGGAAGCGAGAACGAGAGAGAATGACAATTAACAGTAAGAGTGAAGGATGACACTCTAAAGGTGTGATCAAAAGGTGGCTTTTTATAAATATATGTTTAGAGAAACTGCAAGAAATTTGGCTTGAATTAAAATTATCATTGGTAAAGGGAAAGTGAAGCAAATGGTGGCAGCACTCTTTCCTATGCATGGGAAACGTTTAACAATATGAGCTCAAGTTTAATTTTGAATTGGCAACAAATCACGAATGAGTCAACCTCGCCAAATACTAGTAATAGCCACTATAGCGTCATACTAAGGGTGAGTCATCAATGAGTGTAGTTGTGGGAACATGAGAGCTGAAACGATCGGACTTCTTTAGCAATTAAAAAACTCAAATCATCCGCAATATTTTTAATGACAGGTAGTCTACTGTTTCGGTCTGATCATAACCTATAGATGTCAAAGACATACACATTCGTTTTATAAAAGTGCTGTTTTCAGCATAGTTCTAACAGATATAATTGTAATAAAACTGCTTAAAGTGATTTGACAGCGCAAGTGTGTGCTGTCTGCGGTTAGTAGGATCCGTAGGGACCAGGAAGCATATGTTTGTCTAAGTACTGAAAAAAGGGGTATAAAATTCAATATAAAAAAGTGGTATGTGGATGTTTACGTGCAGACTGCATAAGGAGACTGATGGCAGGAAACTGTGTACAAGATGTCTGTACACATACATGTATGTTCAGCTGTTTTTTACACGTTTTTGCGATTATGTTTCTCTAGGGAGTGTTTGCTTAAGCCTAGCGCAGACTTGCGACTTGTTCATCCGACTCGGCTGCGATTCTAGATCAAGCCTAACCGCGACTTTACCATTTTTGACAACATGCTGCAAGGATGATCTTTTCTAAATAGTTAATAAACAACTTGCAACGTGCCCAGAATGCAACCTTGATAACCTGTTTACAAAATTAACAACTTAATGCTTATACATTGTATCAGATGTGTATAATATAGAGATATCTCTATAGAGATAGCTTTAAAGAGAGATCTCTATATTATACACTCCTGAGTCCTGATTGAATTGTAGTAGCCTGAAGCCCTCAACCAGGCTCATCTGTAGTAGTATAGTAGGCCTACTGTCTTAAAGGGAGAGTTTACTCTAGGTTCTAGGGTTATTTTCAGCTAATTTAGGTTATAATTACGCTACATAAAAAGTTTTATGGTTCAATCACCATTAGAAATTTTTTTTTTTAATGTTTTAAAACTAACGATTACGGTTTGATTACAACGATGGTGGCGCCACTTAAAGCGCACGATCTGATAAGTTGCGCAAAACCACTTTCCAGCCAAGGGCTACAGACTGAGGGTGTTTCTTATTTATTCATTTAAAAGCAAAAGGATTATAATATCTTATAAACGATATATAGTTTCAGTTATAATATGGATAAATTTGCTCTAAAATGAATATCGTTCGGTTAAATAGCATTTAGGTATAAATATAATTGCACCTTTGTGATTAGCCCTCGGTCTGTAACGTGCAAAATAAATTGTCAAATACGCAACTTTTTCGGGGTGGCAACACGGTCGTGGGTGTCATGGCGCCGTTCAAATTTCGTAACGCTGATGTGTAATTAATTATAACAATTAAATTAGATATCTGGTAACAAATACGTGTGGGTAATGGGTATAGACGATTTGTTATACAATAAGTACAGTTGTATGTAGTTAAATCCTAGAGGCTACTGTCCCTTTAACCCCTGCGCATGTGATTTGGAATGCATGTAAATGGCCGCTGTTTAGGGCGCTGCATAAATAATTTCTTTGCTGTGGTGGCTTGTAAATGTGGGCGTCGCCTCACTTTGGCTTCATGGTGATTCACAGAGCTGTAGTTGGCCCACAATATGAATGGCTTTGATCAATAAATGATATCATGATTGCAGGGTAAACACAGAAATCATTGTGGCGCTGCCACGGCGATGAATCATAAAAGTGGAGTCCGTGTATATATGGCAGTGAATGTACGCGGTCAGAGCAAACCCGGAGATATGATACTAATACGTCATGAGACTTACAACTATTAGTGTATTTTTATGTAATTTCTTGTCTACAAAATAATTCCATATTTCATGGTCATGCAAAAGGACAATGCATTCTAAGTCAGTAGGAGTGCACAGAATGGGTTATTTTAATTGCTAGTGTATGTGTGTGTGTGTGTGTGTGTGTGAGAGAGAGAGAGAGAGAGAGAGAGAGAGAGAGAGAGAGAGAGAGAGAGAGAGAGAGAGACTGGGTATCGCATAAATTTATAACCGTCCTGGTTTTTCATCCACCATTGCTGTGGAACCCTGTGGAATGTGAGGTGTTGGTGTGTAGAGATATTGAAAATTGTCTAAATTACTCGGTATTATACTAGTTGAATTGGATTAGATGGTCATTCGGGATTAAAGTTAAGTGGATAAACCTCGCAATAAAAAGCCTATATATACACCTACTGTGAGCATACTTACAATATGCAAACATCACGAAATGTTCTCATTGTCACATTGAGCCAGAAATGTACTCTGAAGGTGGCTATTTTGAATTACCTCGTCGGACGCGTTAAATTATGTTGAGCGAAGTGTCAGAGAACGCTAAATAGTAGCCTTGCGCTAGCACAAATAGTTCCTGGAACGAAAACACTATATTTGTTTCCTGATTGCATATATGTGATTTAAACAAATTTCACAATTTCGTACCGAGTAAGCATCGAACAATAATGTATAACATGTGTTATCACAGAAAAGAACTGTTAATGCAGCACAAGTTTCGCGCCGGTGTGTACCGGATGTGTTTTACAAACACTTTTTCCTGTGGTGCTACTTTCATAACATTTGTTTAGATTTTATGAAGAAATGTTGTGAAAGTAGCAATACAAATAAGTAAACAAGTAATTTTTGCAACATAGGCGAGCTCACAGTAGGTATATATATCAAGAGCTAATAAATACCTTATTTTTGGTTTTATTTTAGGTGTTTATTAGCTCTTGTATATATGTAGCTCTAGTAACTATAGCCCGCGGCAACTGTACGCGGGCTATAGTTACTACTACTAGAGCTAGTATATATGCATCTAGCTGCGAGGTTTATCCACTTTAATGCTTTTCTTCAATCTCACATTAGGATAGTAATATGCCTTAGCTAAAATTCTGTGCAGCCGAACCGTCTGTGTCGGTGTGTAGTCCATGATTAGTTTTGGTGGTAATAGGGGTTCGCACTTCTGCAACCCACGTGGCAGTCACACTTTACGTATAAATATTCATGAAGCATGCACATTTTATTGCCGGCGGTCTTGCTTCGCTGCTGCTGTGTTGTTCTAGATCATGCATATCAAAATTACTAGCTACATCACCATGTGTTGCTGCTGATGAGTAAATATATGCAAAAAAACTGAAGGTGGTAGGTGACTGGTTGAGTGAGGACTTCATACAGTGTTTATCCCTGGTGATATTTATTAGCATTTAGTGTGTTATCAAAGAGGCTAACCACTAATGAGTGACGAGATATTGGTAAAACCTGAGTATTTTATTCAAAAGGGTCAACAATATAAATTGTTCCTTGTCACGTTGTCACGTTTATGATTGTACAATAGAAGAACACAGCCATAAAGAAAACACTGTCATTGTGATATCCATTCCCCGACTTAAAGCTATAAGTAGTTTACATCAGTTCAAATTATTGTAATTGATAACAGTAAACGTGTATGGTGATGTTATTTATTTTTGTTGCAGAGTGCACAGAACAGGATTCTGTTGAAGGGAGGGAAAGTAGTTAACCATGATCGTATGTTCGATGCTGATGTCTACATTGAAGATGGATACATCAAGTAAGTAATCTTTTTTTGTGTATAAACATATGGTTAAGGTCTTTACGTTACATTACCAACAGCTTATACTACCATTTGTACCAAAAACGATGTTACAATAAAATTATACAGAATTAAACTTTTCTGCAGCATATATGTCCGCAGTCGTTTCTGCTTTGGATTTCTATTATTAGTATGATAGTGGATATTTTTTATAGCCACTAAAATAGATGCAGCTAATGTAGTGCCAACTATGTAACTTCAGTATCAGTTTTCATTAACTGTGTATAATTATAAGAGAGGAATTGAGGTGTGTGTTTTGAATAACTTAACTATGTATTAAAAAAAATTCAGGTGAGTGTTAACAAAGAATTCAACTGGACCTATATTATGAACGTTTATGTGTGTGTTTGTGTTCATGCTTACATGTGTGTGGGAAAAGAATAGTGTCCAAATGTGATAAAACGCTGACCTGTATATTAATATATTATTACAAATTTCTAAAACCTTATCATCATACATTTGGAGGTCATGACTCGGCGAAATTCCAATTCTCGTACGTGAAATGACTCCAGAATGAATGTCAGTGGCTTGTTTACATGTTGGAATGTGTTGATTCTTTTTCCATTGCAGACAACTTGGAAAGGATCTGGTCATCCCAGGAGGAACAAGAACCATTGATGCCACTGGCAAGATGGTTATGCCAGGTATGCATAGAGCTGCTGTTCTTTGTGGTATATATACCTGTGGTAATACAATACCTGCTGGTGGCATAGGCAGACTAAACGGCTGCCTAGGGCCCAGCACCACCTAGAGGGTCCTTTGTTGCCTGCAGGAAATTATAACAATGTGTTTTTATCTCGAATTTGCAGTTGGTCTGTGTGCTAAAGGGTGCTTTGCTGCCTGCAATGTACATATAAACCATTATTTAACAAAATCCTTCCTTCAGAGATGTGCCTAGGAAATGTTGAACAATGGGCGGTGAGGGGCGGGGTGCGGATCCAGAATAATTTTATTCATCCCAATAAGAATATTCTATCACATACATGTATGTAGATTTCCATGTATGAAGTAAGCGGCATTCGAACACGTTTATGTCACCCAGTTGGGGTAACTAGTCGATCTTGTCATTTATGGTACAGTTACTGATGTTTTAAAAGGTGGTTAGCATTATAGGAATCAAACAAAGTAAATTGTCTAAAAATTTATAAATTGCTATATATGTATATATATATAGCAGACTAATTTAAGCTGATTTGATCCGTACTTACATTGATTTCACCCTTTCAATGTGACGTTGGTTTGCTCTTTGTTTTCCTTAACCGCGTTTGTTGCTTCCCAGGTGGAATTGACACACACACGCATATGGAGCTGCCGTTCGGTGGCACAGTCGCTGTAGATGACTTCTACCATGGCACCCGGGCAGCTTTGGCTGGAGGAACCACCATGATCAGTAAGTATTAAGTAATCTTTACTCTAAGTAACACATGTGCAGAGGTCAATGTGACCTGTACGACTTTATGGCTGCGTATTAGTATAACATTGCAAGTGAGCCTTTATCCAGCAATATAAAATTGTGTATAATATTGTTTTAACCCAGCTCATTATAGCATCAAATAAATAACTTCATCCTTATGCGCCTGCGATATATTGTGCTGCTTTGTGCACTTATGTTACACTGTTAACAAGTGTGCCTAGCCAGCTTTTCGCTGTTGTCATAGAAACAGGCTACCTTTTGATGAAAAGGTATCAGTAAAACTGTATAATGGATCATGTGAAAATGCTATTCTTCTTACCTTACCTATAGGAATGAACTATTGTACCATATAAATATTAAACTATCATACAACTATCACTATCGTGTTAATTTCTGCATTTTGATTACAAAATTTGACAAAAAGTGCAAATCCAATAACTGTGGGAGAAGGAACAGAGGTGATGGCTAAAATCAATGAGAGTTTCCCATATTACTTAACAGTATGTACACAGAGTTACTGCCTTCTATGTAAGATGGCAGTTTCCATAGCAACTGTGAGTAGAGAAAGGCCAATTACAGTTACTGTGACTGTACAGATGATGTTGTTTCGATCTTTGGTTTTTTTATATTATCTCTGAATACTTACGCACAAAGGTTATAGAAACGTTTGTAGCAAGCTTTAACCCAATTAAATGCTTGCCAATTTCTTATTAAAGTAAACTGATACTTTTAGTAATTTTGCAAGCTATTGTGTTAAGCCACCTGTTGTGTTATCTGCTCACTGTTAAAGAAAGGCTTTCAAACTATCTTCCTGACCATTATGATTACATGACGATGCCACTTGTTTCTTACGAGGCTCTGTCACTTAACTTTGTTAATGGTAACTTGTATGAAGAAGTAAGGATGTTACATCACTCAGTGAGAGACACTTTTTGGGGGCACCGATTACAAGGCAATTATCGCAGCATTGAAGAATGTGGCTCCATTTTATACTTTCTTATTCCCATAAAAGCACAAAATTGTGGTAATTCTTATACTGGAGTAATCAGTAATATGTCTGCTAATAGATGAAACCTACTTTATGTCAACATGTTTTTATTTTTTACAATTTTAAAATAGCTGTTGTGCATGACATATGTATGTCGTTACATACATTTACATGTAGTAGGTATGTTGTAATTATGCGTGCGTATATAAATGCTGATGAATTTAATTATATGTAATGCTAGTGTATTGTTTTGCCATTCATAGTGGACTTCGTGCTGGATGGCAAGGGTGTACTACCTCTGGATGCTTACAACAAATGGATGGACAAAGCTGGTGCCAAAGTTTGCTGTGACTTCTCTTTTCACATGGGACTCACGTGGTGGAATGACAAAGTAAAGGAAGAACTACCGATACTCTGCAAAGAGAAAGGTACGGAGAGACTATTATTGTGCGATCATATTGCGCATCGTGATTTTACGGTGTTTTTATTTCAGTTAGAGCCATATATAAGAAATGTTTGCAGTGTTTACATCTTCAGTGTTGTTAGGTAATTGTCTGGGGTGGAAATTTTTCGTGGAAACTGGTGCTGCCATGCATTATCTTTTCTGTTGCTTCAGGTATCAATTCGTTCAAGGTGTTTATGGCATATAAGGACCTGTTCATGCTGCGTGATGACGAAATTCTCGACGTCCTTAAGACCTGTAAGAGCCTCGGTGCCATCGTACAAGTACACGCAGAGAACGGTGATGTGATCGATGAGAACTGTAAGAAGCTACTTGCCTTGGGAATTACAGGGCCAGAGGGACATCTAATGGCACGACCTGAGGAGGTGATAACATGTATGATATGTGTGTGTGTGTATATATATATATATTAGGGGTGCACCGGAACTATCTGGCCGGATCCCCAATTTTTCAGAGTTCCGGTTCCGGTCGGAACCCTTCAGAAACAGTCGGCCGGAACCGGAACTTTTTCCTAATTTTATTTCTGCTACAAGCGTCATCAAAATCGAAAGATTAGTCACTGAATGTAGTTGAGAGTCAATAGAGTGAACTTGCTGACAATATAGTGTTAGCAACTTCATACTTTTCTGCCCAAAAAATGCTTGCCACTTGAACATTGGCTAACTAACTGAACTGAACCTGATATTAGGTGATTCATACGATTTTCTTTTAAAATCAAATACTCTTAGAGCCACAGGAATCGCATTTGTTCGTTAGTTGAAAATAATAGACTAAAACCAGGGATACGGCAAGATGCCAGAATTATGCAAATTATGCACTGTAAGCAGCTGATTCATACACATAACAGTAACAACCATCCTGTAATTAGAACTTTGAGCATTGTCCTACTCGCCTAAGTGATGTGCCTGAAAGATATTTCGTTCAGGTCGAGTCAGTTTGCGCAATACTGGGCCAAAACTGCCAAGTTTATTCTCAGCTAAAGTTCCGGTTCCGGCAAGGTAGTTCCGGCCGGAACTTTTTTCAAGTTCTGGCCGGTTCCGGTTCCGGCCGGAACTTAAAAAGTTGTATCTGTTGCACCCCTAATATATATATATATATATATATATATATATATATATATATATATATATATATATATATATATATATATATACAGGGATGGGAATCTTCCGCGGATCAGCGGAAATCTGTGGATTTCACAGTCCCAGGGTCGATTTTGTGAAACGTCTAAATCCGGTGAGAGAAAATTTTAGGGGGGTTAGAATGTACAAATTTTCATTTTACAGTCCAACAGTACCTTCATTTAATAACATTGTAATATAGTTCGCTTTACAATAGACTATAGTTCGCTTTATAATAGACACGGCTTAGTTCACTGTTTGAGATTGTCAGACGTTGGCCAGTGTGTGCGTTTATTTGACGCTGTAAGTGTGTGTGTGTATGTGTGCCGCGCGTGCTACGCAGGCCCTATATATATATAGTACGCGATCGATCGATCGTGTACATCAAAGGCCGCCGCGTCACGCGTGACCTTGAGGCTCCCTTTTATGAAGTACGAACTGTTTCACTTCTCGCCAACGAAGTTCTGTTTATAATACATATATACATAACCATAAAAGGTGGTGTCGCGAGCTGCTTTTTTCGGTGACCTTTGAAAACGATAAAAAAAATAATGTCGCGCGATCGCGCCCTAGCTCCTAGGGTGTTAGGAATATTATATCGTGCGCACAAGGGAGGATTTTTGGGCAATTTTTTGTGTAGCAAATAAAGCGTTTCCTTTCCTGATGTCTGATCACTGTGGGGCTCACAGACTTGCCTTGGCAGCAGGACAAGCCGCTAAAGTTGTTCAATATGATAAAATATCTACTGTAGTGACCAGAAACAAATTTGAAACTGCCTGGACAATAAACATCTTATATTATATAAAGGTTAGCCTTGGGGACAGTGTGGAAGTGTACATTAAAATAATTTTGTTTGCAGAATGTAACTTTGTAAGTAAATTTTTGTATTGATTATTAATTCTGGTGTTATGATAATGACAGTGCAAGATATATTCCCTGCAGTGTACTGTAATATGCTCTGTAACAATTCTGTTCTGTATGTGTCTCCTAATGCGATTTTATGCCTTGTAAGTTGTGAAAATCCAAAAACTTTCTGAACCCCCTGACCAGGCTTCGCCCTGGACCTGACCGTCCCCCCCGCCCCACTACCCCCCCTTCCCGCTGGACCCCGGCTATTTTCAGCTGAAACACAAATTGTCATTCCCATCCCTGTATATATAAAGCTGTACTGATTCTGTTACTATAGCTGTGTAGATTGAGCTGTATTAATTGCAGATAGGGATAATTGTTTGGTATTCCATATATGTGTATTAATCTTGATATTGTGGTCAATCATGTCAGACTGTGATCAGGTCTGGTACTTCTAGTAGTCTGTTGTTTTCTTCTTCTGTGTGTATAGTCTTTAACATAAGATGTGATATCTGCAGGTAGAGGAGGAGGCTACACACCGTGCTATCATGCTAGCTGACCAGGTGAACTGTCCTTTGTACGTCGTGCACGTGATGTGCAAGGGTGCAGCAGATGCAGTTAGACGTGCTCGCATGAGAGGTAGGTGTTTCCACGCAGTACCTCTGTCATAGATAGCTCGTGACACCTCTGCTATATTGTAATTGTGAATGCAATCGTAAGACAGGGTTACCTATGGACTTTATTGAGACGACGCTCCTGCTGTAACATAAGGTATACCGATGTTTTGAAGTTGGTAGCGTAAACCCCAGATACATAAGTCCACAGAGAGAATTGTTATTTTAAAAATTATGCCATATTGAGTAACTACTATCAGGGTCATTGATCAGTCAGTGTGGTGTCTACTTGATCTGTATCTTTATTTGGCCAGAGTGTTAGAGACTAGGAAATATGTTGTGCTAGTGCAAGGGAATTATTTATCGTATAAATGCTGATTACTTCTAAACAGAGCCACTAGAATACAAAATTGTTTTTGGAATGTAATGGCCTGCATATATACTATTTTATACATGTGTGACGTCATAGAAAGTAGTTCATTGTAAGTATTGCAAAACTGAAGCTGTTAAATGTTGTACTTAAATATGTGGGAACAAACCTTTATCAGTAATAACAATAATGTCTCATCGTAATTCATGCAAGTACAGTAAATAGACGCTTCTCCATCTGGTAGGCAGTGGATCTTCCAAGTTAAATGTCTGCATTACAAATGGATGACACGAGTAACATCTTGACTCGCAGGTGCTGTGGTGTTCGGAGAGCCAATCGCTGCCTCACTGGGTACAGATGGCACGCACTACTTCAACAAGTGCTGGCGCCACGCCGCTGGGCACGTGATGGCGCCCCCGCTGAAGGATGCCACTACTCCCGAATACCTATTGAATCTGCTAGCGAAGTAAGTCAGTGTGCAGGAGACAGTCGTATTGATGTGTGAACAGGGTGAAAGCATGGGATCAATAATAAGTGAAAATTTATACAGTGGTGCTGGGGAATGAGGAATAGTTTCATCTGACTGTATGATAGCAGATCCTAGTCTAGATAATGGCAAGCATGGGAGCAGTTCCTACCTTGTATCCATTTATGTAATTGTTTTTTAAGGTTGTATGCAAAATTTCGTGGAGGCTTAAAAGTGTTAGCCCCAATTCTGAAATGAGTTCTTATAAGCATTACACGTTTTCTTGTGGAAAACACCATTAGTAGTGCTTTAAATAATGTTGTCAGTAAGTTTTTAACAGCCCAATCTAAGGGCTGATGTTTCTTTACCACACATTTTTGCATGCTCTGCTAGCTACTCGTGCAAAAACGCACGGGGGCACACATGTCTTTGCTGCTCCTACTAGCATTATCTAGTGATCACAGTGTTGTTCATAGGCTTGTTGCTGGGTAAAATCCGGATTGAATTATTAGTTTGGTTGTTGATTAACAACATTTAAATATTTTGTTTGTAATGTAACCAGCAATGAAATTGGGAAAACTACTATATTATCAAGCAGTAGGGTTATATACTTATAAAGGACACAAAGTGTTAGTTATTCTATTAATTGTCAACAGTGCAGAATTAGATAGACGTATTATTATTCCTTAAGTATGTAAAGTCATGCAGTGCTTGATATATAGGCCCAGTCTTCACACATTAGGGCAAAGCATGCCAAGCTTACTGTTTACTGTTAATGTTACTTATTTACTAATGTTCTGACCTCCTTAAGTTGAAGACCTAAAAATTCAGGCAGAGAATTGCATTCCAAATTTTTGTATGAAAAGAACCATTAGTGACTCTTTAAATTATCATTGAAATAGTTGAACTCATTGCTTGAAATATATATATATATATATATATATATATATATATATATCAGCATTTATGCATTAAGACAAAGATGGCCAAGTTTGCACATTCCAAACTGTTGTCACAATCCTGACTGATTAAATAAGCTCCTAATAATATAGTTGTTATGAAAATAGGTAGATATCCATTGTCATCGTTATTATTTATGACACTATTTAGTGGATTGAAACAAAAATACAACAATACAGCAAGCAGACAATTCTTAAACTCGACAGAGGGTCAGATTGCATTATGTTTGTGCTGTAAGCTGATAGCACAGATGACTGTATATTTCAGTGGCGATCTAGAATGCACTGGAACGGACAATTGTACATTCAACGCAGATCAGAAGGCACTTGGCAAGGATGATTTCACCAAGATACCCAATGGGGTCAATGGTGTGGAGGACAGAATGTCAGTCATCTGGGAAAAGGGTGTGGTAAGTATTGATAATGCTGGCAGGCAGGTTTGCTTTGCTTGCGATATACAAATTCTAGCAAAATAATTGGTGATAAGTAAATGAATTGAACAAGACGTGTTGCTTGCATAAAATATTCATGCCTTTACTGTTCACACGTGGCGTATTAATACATGTAATCTGACTTGGGTAATTTTTTTACTGCTTCTGTATTGCTTTCTGAAGTGTAAGCCAACCGAATTAATTGTATTAAAGAAAATGAAGCGTGGCACATTTATGAATTATTAAAACAGATAGCAAAATCTGGTTTGGTTGTCGTACATGGTACACCAGCCTATTGCCCCTGTTCCTCTTTCAGCACTCTGGCAAGATGGACCCATGCCGTTATGTGGCAGTGACGAGTACCAACGCTGCCAAAATCTTCAACATCTATCCACGCAAGGTATGCCCATTTGTGCTGGAGTGCTATAGTATGATTTTTTTGGCGATATACATATTTGAAGTGTTGACTTATCAGACTCTTCTGAGTTAAACGAAATATAATGTTAATACTCCTGATCTTCCTACAGTAACCCAATACTGTCAAGTGTTATCATGCTCCACAGACTGCTACAGATCGTAATTGCAGATAAAATACGGAACCTATAGAGTATAGATGAACATGGTTTATAGTTAATTCTGTACTTATATTTGGTATTTGATGTGTACTGTTGTAGGACTGTCAGTCTCCTATATTTAAGCCATTCATAGGTTTACCATAGCTATTGTATCTCCATGAACATTTAAAAAATAACATGTCACTGCTAAGTATCTGTGAATTTTTCAGGGTCACATTGCTGTTGGCTCCGATGCAGACGTGCTCGTCTGGGATCCGACAGCGACGCGCACTATTTCAGCTGCCACCCACCACCAGAAGGTAGGCGGAGTGGCCGTGCTGTCATCGATACCACACAGAATTAACGCAGTAGAATAATGTTCACATATGATGAATTCATTATATTATAGAGCATTTCACAAATACTGCACTGCGTGTTTGCTATTGTCGGTTACGTATGTTGCCATTTGGATGTTTGATCAGAACGATGAGTATTTATCAGGAGTTTGCAACAGTGTAATAAAGAAAAAAATATCGCATTTCAATGTAGAAGGATATATAGTGCGTCGAAGATGGATGCAATAGAAGTATCGCATATTACGTGAGCCACGACGCATATGCTACATGACCGGCGTTACAAGCTAATGCTCGTTTTCATATGTCTCACGCATAATGAGCTATAAAGGTATGTCGATTGCTCTGACACACTTCAGGTTGACTTCAACATCTTTGAGGGCATGGAGTGCCACGGTGTGCCTCTGATTGTCATCAGTCAGGGTAGGGTGGTTCTAGAGGATGGCCAACTGCATGCCACCCGCGGGGTCGGGCGCTTCATCCCAACACCCTGCTACTCTCAGTACGTCTACAACAGGATTCAGACTCGTGATGTGGTAAGCAAGCTGGCGTAGCAATGTCTATGGTTATATCTGTAATGTTCTCTATCGATGTTGAGATAGTAACACGGTAGATAAAAGGTCAACATCTAACACTGTCACATCCCTTTATTCCTTCCATACTGTAACTCCCTCTGCTCATGTGTAAAACCCAAGACAAAACGTACAGGTGGAGGCGCAACGAATACATTACAATATCGACATCAGCATCTATGTATATGCAAACATACACGAATATACATGCATACACGTTCATGTGCGTGCATACATAGTATAGGAGCTTTTGAAAATCGAAAAAATGTCATGATTTGGGGGTTTAGCATTTTAGTACAACATTTTTATATAAATAAATAAATGAGTGAATAAATAAAGTTACAAAATGATGAAATTCTTATTTCAGTAAATCCCCAATTTTCAGAATTAGAATTGAATGAAGAAATAGGTTTGACGTTATTTTAATATTTTATATGAGTAAAGTCGACGCCTTATAGCATAATGTCATCTTGCTTTACAGAGTCGCGCTCCACAGAAAGTTGATCGAGAGGCATATGATGGGCCAGTCATCGAAATCAAGATGGAGGACAAGAAGGGGATGCAACTTGCTGAAAACCCTATCACAATGAATCGTGACTCAATGTTCCAGGCTAGACGCGCACAGCCGGGAGGACGCAACCTGCATGAATCTGGCTTCTCCATCTCTGGTTAGTCGGGCCATGCAATCGCGTCCCTCCTCTGTGTGGAGGAGAATCGACTCTGTCTCATCCTCGCTGTCTCAACTCTCTGCCACTTTGCATTGAACTATGCTGTGCCTTGTCCACTGCACAACCGCCCATGATGGTTCGTTAGTCCCACATATTTGGCTGATCAGTGCTAGCCTAATGCTTGACAGCAGTCGATGATATTACAAAGTTCAGTTCGCAGGCATGGCAACTGCTTGTGCACATTTTGGGGATGGGCGGTGACGTGAGCATGACCGCTGCTTGATGTCATCAGCGATGACCCAATCATGCTTTGAGCTAGCATGCAAAGCAGCTAGTTTGCAGCTTGGGTACTAACTAATGCACACCTAATCCAAACACGCTGAGAATTTATTACTAACCTAGAATATGTTAATTGTCTCTAACTCCTACTCGTCGTTAAGGTATTTTTTTTCTAAAAGAACTTCTTACCAGCATATCTCATGAGAATTCTGCTAAAAAACTGGCGTGGATTATTCTATTACATCTCACATGGGTTTGGTTGCTGGCATTTGTAATGCGCTTGTGATGTCATGCTAATATTAATAGCTGATTAATATTATTTTTAATGTTAAAAAATCCAGTTTAACTTTATGATCATGATAATGCAAATACTATTCCAATTATCTACACTTCACGTGTGGCACATTGCACTATCATCACTCTTTGCACTATCATAACACTGGGTAACTGGATTCTTCTGTTCTCATTTTTGCTGGCACTTGTTTGGTTTTTGTATTAACTGCATGGTGCACCGACTCATGACTAACCCTGTTGTCCACCAGGTTCACAAATCGACGACCAGAAAATCACGAAGTCGTCGGGGCAGCGAATTTCGCAGCCTCCCGGTGGGAGATCGTCTGGCAATTTGTGGTAACCTGCAGTGACGTAAAGCTGCTCTTCTTGCGCTTCTATGCATGCCGAGTGTACGCCTGTGATTAAACAATATAGCCAGTGATGATTTATGCCTTTGTGTGTTGAAAATGTGTATGTGCGTGTGTACGTGCGTGCATCTGATTCTATGCATTTTATAGAAAAGAGCTGTGTGCATAGTGAATTACTATAATATTGTATTGCATTAAGTTTAGCTCAAGAAATCCTGTGTTATGGGTAGTTTGTGCAGTATAATAGTTGTACAGGGTTGTCAAATCCACCTGTGTGTGCATAGATCGATGTCTTCCTCAGTATATAACTAGTTTGAGATTGGGAGACAATTGTGTATAAGCAAGATCTTATAAGAATTTATGAAGCACATAGAATTCCCAATCAATGGAGAGGTGTTTGAAATATGGCACTGAATCATGTATGCACACTGTAGCCTTCAATTTATTTGTGTACTTTGTTCGTAAACATTAGTGAGTGTTCAATAATTGTTTACTTTTAGGTCTTGCATGCAGGTACCTTTGGTGGCACATGGCTTGTCTATTCCCAACATGTGTCGAGTTGCTGTGCTGATATTCTGTCGGTACTCACTCGGTGTGTTTCGTTTTCCTCTAGGTGAGCAGGCTGATGATAACCAGCCACGTCATGCCCAGACTCGACACTTTCAGCCACCTGGTGGCAAAACCTCTGAAGGATTTTGGTAACAGAGCAAGCCAATGGACAATGCTGACGCAGACTTTCTGTCTATCTTCTGCATGTTTGTTAAACACCACGTGTAGGTGTAGGTTTATAAAAAAAAAAATAGCAGCTATTATTGAAGATGCAGGCATTCATTGTGTACGAATGGTACACTATGCATTTATGCTGTCTAGATCATGTAAGTCGTCATTTTACTTTTATTTGGCAGAATGATGTAAATATTATTTTATGTTTTCTTGTGTTCTAGAAATACATCCGTGTTTGGTGGATGGCAGAACTCTGTTAGATGTTAATTGTTGTGCAAACTGCATTGCCATGATAGGAGGAGGGGCTTTGTCCCAAATGGCTTTGTTTATGCCTAAGTGAATCTAGATGAGTGAATACCATAGTACATAACTAGTGGCAGGATGGCAGTTTGTGAGTTTTCTTTACAAAAGATGAGCTATTTTCTTGCACTGTTATTATATGTAAGGTGTGGTGTATTATGTTTAAAGGATATGTATGTAATTTAAGTATTGTGTAACACTTTCAAAAACAAGTCTATAGGATCGCGAACAAGCGTAACAAAAGAAGTTGAGCTGCAAAATCTTTTTCCAGGTTTTGCATTTGCTACAGTATCGCAGTATGTAGGTAATAATCTTTTGTGAAGATGCACTGCATCATGCATGTAAGATTTCTAAGTTTTTGTGAATCTGTAAAAGAGTGCTTTCGATTTTTAATGTGCTTTGACTTTAAACTAGGCAATTTATTAACATTGTTGTAGTACACATAGAAATCGTCTCAATTTCTTCATAGCATTACTCATCTCAAATGTAGATTTACGAGCGCAAAGGTTGGTTAATATGGCTACGGAATTTTTCATGTGCGTGTGCATTTGATCCATGTTTTAATGAGAGGGAGAGTGTAGCTTTCAGTGGCACACTGGTCAATGGTAGTCTGATCAGAAATGCAATTATGCAAACACAGTTGCACTAAACATTGCAGTTATTAGGAATCGTGCTTATTGGTAACTATTATGCTATGCTTGCTTCTCTCTGCACAGAACGATGGCAATAGGAACATTATTGAACATAAAAAACTCAAACTCGTTCTGTGTGGACGTCAGTTGTCTCCTATACTGACTCACATTCTTCAGTGAAGCCATAAAGCAGATGCGGTTGAGAAAAGAATCGGATGAGGGAGCGGTCACTCTGGAATCTGACCTGCCCGGTGGTTGCTAGATTGGTGGTGGGTTTATATTATCTGTTTCTGATGGCTTCCCCGAGTTGCCTCTGGAAATCTTACCTACTTAAATGGCCTAGAATTACATTTTCGACTGAGTGGTGACTTTGCTTGGCCTTACATTAACTGCTTTGCAACAATCTGGTTCCATAAGCTTGCTGTGCGTCAACCGTCTTTTCCTGATCTAGATTGTCTCTAGACTGGAACACCTTATGATACAATCAGGGGTGTGTGCGTGATGCATACCGTCAGTTGTTGTGGTACGCCTATAGGATCAGATCATGTGCTTGCGTGAATGTCAAGGTAAACAAGCGAAGAAACTCCTGAGTGAACAATTCCAGACCTGCACAATGGCCTTACGGTGGTGGAATTTTATCTGTTGTCTGTATTAACCATTTGGTTTAATGAGTACTTCTATATGTGTCTTCATGGTCTGCTGGGAGGCTCACATTGCAGATAATCACGTTGGTTTTACGTGTAGAGAACATGGTTCCAAATGCGATATTTTGTTGTTTGTTCAGCTTTGTTTTCCTGCGATATATATAGTGATGACACATTTTGGAGACTTATCTCTTAGTTCTTCTAATTTAGTTTTTTTCCGTAAAAACTAGAAGCAACTCGTTGAATTACTCTCCTCATACTTCATTGTGTTCGTAGATCTAAATAAAAATTGAGGGAAAATTTAACATCCTAGCCCATTTTGTTTTGTAATAATATCAACAGTAATCATTTTGCAGCGGAATAAAAACACACTCAAATATATATATATCGGTGCGTGTGCGTGCGTGCGTGTCTGTGTTGTAATAAATAAATAACATTGAATAGGCACGCCACTTTCCTTTGCGACTACTACTACTACATGTAAACATCTAAATACGCTATCTAAACATCTTACTAAACTACGAAAAATTGATAAAAGAACAACATTATATATTAATGTTTGACCACCTGTTTATTTCATACAAAAATACAATGTATGTAAGTGCTATATCGCCTGCAATAAACTACATCCAACTTTACAGGCAAATATGTACAGCGTCTTCTGCATAGGGCTAATAAGTACAGACACGGGCAGTGGTAACAGCTTCTATATCAATGGAAATCCGCCAGTATATTTCTGCACTGAAAATAACCGACTGCATTTAATTTGAACTGTATGTATCACAGGTACAACACCTGTGTATAATAATATACAACGAGTTGCTAGCTGAATATCGACTCAATGTAACGAGAGCTAGTTCGATATCTAGAAATAGTTGTCTACTACATATATGCATTTGCCATTAATTACTTGATAAAAATATATACAGTTAAAATTCACATCCAACTTAGTAGAACATAAATGTGTTATCATGCAAGCCATACCACTGAATACGAAGCAATTTTAAATGGAATGCGTGATGTGTGTGTGCAAGTGTGTGCGCGTGCGTGAGTGAATGCGTGAGTGAATGCGTGAGAGTGAGTGTGTGACAGAGTGCATGTGCATGCTGCTACTTGTGTGTCCTGCAATCCTTAGTTAGAAATACTACCTCCGATATGGTACTACACCGCAACTTCCTCACCCAGTCATGGTCAGTCGATAAAATTCCAACAACAGTAATTTCTTTCCCATAATATTATAGTGTAAGGTAAATTTTCTACCAATGTAAAGAAAACCCACATTTAAAATGTTTGCGAGATCTCATCCAGACTTTAGTGAGACAGTGGGTGTATTATTTCAGGGTTAGTGTCTCAGTCAAGTCGTATGTGGCGATAGCAAAATACAAATATTTGATCGCCAATTTCGTTTACGCCCTATGTCATTTACTTTAGGTAGAACTTGTACTATGAGTAAGGTCATATACACAACGTCTATACAAAACACACATTAGTATTTTATAACCGTTTCACCTATCACCCATTCACCTAACAACAGTACTGCTGAGCACAACAAGAGTCACACTGTGCACAAGAGTTCTTACACACATCATTCCACGCTGGTACATTTAACAATGGCTACTATGCATTAATTACCGAAATATCGCTGCCATCAATATTGGTCATCATTATCCGATCCATGACAGGAACATTCCAAGGACAATATACTTCCCCAGCTGTAATTCATTCAAGCTCACAATCTATATACCGAGTCTTTTCTCCCACACAATAATTACGCACAGTATTTTTTGCCAGCTGTGGAAAGCTAGATTGTGGAGAGATTGTTTAACACGTAACCTACTGCTTACATGAACCGTGCACCGTGGCAAATCTCATTCATATTAATAAGTACAGCTGGTTTGTCCACCCGATGTATTGCCATGACCGATGTGAGAAGCAACGGCATGTCACGCACTCGTAGCATGCTACATCATGGCACGCACTCGGAACATGCTACATCATGGCACGCACTCGGAACATGCTACATCATGGCACGCACTCGGAACATGCTACATCATGGCATGCACTCGGAACATGCTACACCGTATGATTACCTGGCACATATAACAATGACAAACATCGTTACATATTGGCTGTTACACAGTTAGCAACGAATAACATTAAACGTGATACATCACTTGCCCGTGTCACATGGCCAAATCAAGTTTAGGTAGACCGTAGACATTAGCCTCCTCACGCCTTAGGCACGACATTTCAATGACGATTCTGGTCTGTTACGTACGGCTATATACGGATGAAAGAAACGGTCAGTGACGAGATGCAAATTTATATCCTAGGCCAAATTTTTGTTATGCAGAACTAAATAAATTTCAAGATGCTCATGACCATGTTGCTATTCAATGATACACGGGGTGCTAACCATGTCAAATAGCCTTTCGGAGATTCAAGTTTTGATAAAGACTCATGTAACCTAGTACATTAAAATTATACACTCCAAAACAATTAAATCCACTGAAACCGTAAATTTCAAGTTTTAATAAACTAGTCGAACTACTAAATAGTTATTAGGAACGATTCCAGTTTAAAAATGTAGTAAAAACTAGACCAAATCAAACGAATTGCTAGATATAAATGCCCTGCCTCCGAAAGTTCAACCACTTCTCGTCCACCACTCTCAAACAACTTAACAGATATATTGTGCAAGAGTAGGAATATGTGAATGCACGCAAACATGAATTTCACCTAAACCGATAGTACGATATATCAATTTAAACTCCAAATGGCAGCACCAGACAAACAAACATAGGTAACCCTCTCACTACTGCTGCATTCATTTCTTCTTCTTTGTCGTAGTCGAAGAAGTTAAGTGAACGCAGTGTTCATTTAACGTGTTACGACAAATCAACTGTACAGAAGAATATAGTCTTTCAGGTTTTCCCATAACTTGCGTTCTGCCACTATACTCACACAAACCAATATATTCAGCTTTCCACAGTGAATGCACACCGCTGAATTGTACAAATGCACCATTCTCAACACCCACCACTAAGAAAACGCATTTCTAAATGTACGACTATATTTCTTGCTTCTTAGATTTACACAGCAAGTGTGTGTCGGAAATCATGAAGTAGTGACAACAGGCACACATGCCGAGAGCTCGCTGCTGCCCTAATTATACAACTCTTGAATCAACACGTGATGTGATAACATACGTAGTCGGCCCCAACAGACCAGCACTTACGGAATTACAACATTCAGCTGCATCTAACAAATTCTAGCCGCAAAGCTTTGTACATGCACATAAATTGTATGATATCACTGGTATTGAAAAACGCAGAAACAGGACATCCTAGCTTTCAATTTAGAAGCAATCTACCTACGCGCAGCCGCCACACCTGCTGCCAACAAGCGAACGTCCTCACGTCTCTGCGATGCAATCTACCCCACGGTGACGTCACCGCCTACGCCGAGGCTGTAACGCACGAGTGTCTTCGGCACGTGGGCAGCCGGTTAGTGCTCACACGGACGTGTGTGGTGCCGAAGCGTCGAGCGCTCACACGGACGTGGATTATGTGGTTGCACAGGCAGCGGTCGACCGGCACGTGCGTCGGGTGACCAAAGGTCAAGTGCTCGCACGGACGTGTGTGGTGCACAGCGTACAGCGATACTACGGACGTGCCGTAGTGCCACGATAGCGCTCACAAGCGTGCGTCAGGTGCCACCATGTCAGCGTCTACACGGACGGTGTGGTGCCAATAAGAGTCAGTCACACGACGTGGCGTGGTGCGGTCAGCGCTCACACGGACGTGCGTGGTGGCACGCGTCAGCGTCAGTTGGACGTGCGTGGCTGCGGTCAGCACTCGACCACGGAGTGTGTGGGTGCCGGTCAGCGCCTCACACGGACCGTTGCGTAGGTGGCCGCGTCGCGCTCACACGGAGTGCGTTGGTGCCGCGTCAGCGCTCACACGACGTGCAGTGGTGCACAGTGTTCAGCGCTCACCGGACGTGCGTTGGTGCACAGTTGTCAGCGCGTCAACGGACTGTTGCGTAATGGTGCCGGCGTCTAGCACTCACACGGCGTAGTGTGGTGCCACAGGTGCAGCGCTCACAGGGACTTGCGTTAGGTGCCCGGCGTCAGCGCTCACACGGACGTGCGAGCGTGTGCGGTCAGCATCATCACGGACGTTGTGTGGCTGCCAAGGTAGCGGCTCACACGGAACGTTGCGTGGGTGCGTCAGCGCCTCAACGGACGTGGCGTGGGCCACCGGTCAGCGCTCGCACGGAGTGTGTGGTGCACCGGTCAGCGCTCACACGGACTTATGCGTGGTGCCACCGGTCAGCGCTCAGACGCGGAGAGTGAGCACGGGTCAGTGCTCACAAGAGTGCGGTTGGTTTTTCACGTCGCGTCGTCCGGCGGGTCCAGCGCCGGTCACGCTCAGCGCAGCGCTTCGCATCGCGGCTTTTGAGGTCACTCGTGTCCTCCTCGTCGAGAGAATGTTCGGCCGCAGCTGTTCGCTGCTGACCCAACCTCACGACCCGTCAGTGGTGGCGGAACACCGATTCGTCGGCGGGGGAGGGGCGGCAACGCAGGCTGGGTGACAGCAAGCGGGCGGCGGCCGGCGGCGATACCGGTCGGGGGACGCAGGTTCTGGTAAGATTTATGTAGGCCTGGCTCTGAGGACCTCATGAGGAGCATGGCTCCAGCCTCGCATGTTGCAAGTTGCACCGAGGTCTGCCTGGCGAAAGTAAGCAAAACGATTAAATAGGGATACTTTTCCCAGAATTTTAGTATATTTATTTAATTTTAACTATTAATTTTCAGTATTTATTATGATGGTAGTGCGATAAATATAGCATATGCTATGAATTTATTATATTACGCATTCACACTGTGTCATAACATCAACAGTAAAATTTCACATCTTTTATTTTGACCGCTGAATGACACCGCGCAGCCGACGTGCGTCCAACATTACAACGCGAAACTCTGACGCTCGCGCAACGCGCACTTAGCTACGCCTACCGAGGTGAGAAATGTTCCTAGCATACGCTTGCAGTGAAATTACGCTTAAATAAATCATTAAAACTTTTCCTGCTTGAACTCGCATTCAGAGTAGTGATGGGTATTTAGTCCAACGTAAACCGAATAAATTGAGACATTACCACTAGTGCTAACTCTTCTTGTACTGGCCAACTTTGGCATTCCAAAGTAATTAATAGATTAAGATGGTTAAACTAACTCAATTAGAATCTACCTACGAATAGGGAATGCATTCTTCAATACATACTTGCAGCATAACTGCTATTTCAAAATACAAGTATATTTCTGATGTGTACAGATTATCCATGCGGGAAAGAGATTAAGGGATTAAATTTGGGGTATATCAATCTGCGGTAGTGGCTGTGTTCACACAAGACCTGCCAACAATCTTACGCAAGCTACTGCGCAAACTCGTGCGATGCTTGTCGTTTTATACCAACGCCAGTTATATTGTCGTAGTGTGTTACCCTCAAGTTTTGAGGCTGGGTTACACAGCACCAAGACCCACGGTGCAGGTTGCGGGGGGGGGGGGCACATGACTGCTACTGGATTTTTTAAATTTATTATTATAAATTTAGTTTATACTATATATATATATATATGTATTATAGTATATTATATTATAAATTTTATTATAATTGAAAATAAACTGACTGGCGTTGGGATTCAGCAGTTGCAGGGTGTAGGTGACCGGATCCGAAGCCGCGGCCGTGTGTGATGATGACGCCATTCAGCTTCATACTCGTAAGCTCTCGTTCCGTCGACGCGATGGTTGCAGTACGGCCACACGTTCAGCCGTGCTCAAATTCACGTAGTTTCCGTTGATCTTCCTCTCGGTGAATCTGCCTGCCCACCTGCGCGATATGACGAGAGGCGATAAACATGTAACCGGACAAACAACAGGTTCACATTACAAGTAGCATAGCTAATTAACTACAATGTGAGCGGAAAGTGTCTCGCCATTTCTCTCAGTGAAGCCTGCCTGCCCACCTGCGCGTATGACGAAGAGATGGTTAAGACAGCGGTATCACACAAAGTAGCATGTTATTAACTTGAAATTGAAACGAAAAAAATTATACTATATTACTTTGAAATTTGACTTGGAACGGTGAAACGAAAATGTGACAAGTGTGTCACCCATTTATCTAAGTGTAAAGTATTTCGCATAAAAAATTTACACAGGTAATTTGTGCCAGCATCTTTTCTCGAGCATGATCAATATATCTAGATATCAGCATAATATATACAGTTTCATTCCAAGCATTGCGATAAAAAACTCCTGCCACGCAGTGAAAAATGCGCACGCCAGGCATCACTCACACACGCACGCACGCACAGCCTCGCCACACTTCACAGTTATTCATACGTAAATTTTTCATTCTGGAATCTGGATCCACCAGCTCGTACTCTGAATCTACTTTTCGATGCAGGCGCAGTATCTTGGGGGTTCGAATGAACCATCAGGCTCTTCTCCGCGGCTGACAGCGTCAGGGGCTTCCTTAGAGGTGGAACGTCTTCGACTGCAGGTCAATCGAGATGCTGCTTACCGATGAGACATTTGTTCACGAACTTACTGCACTCCATAGACATGGTAACCCAATACTTGTATATTGCTTTATTTTTTCGCGTACAGACATTTCGGCGAATTAGACTTGGACGCACAAGTTTCGCGCATTGGGTTAATTTCGCGGTCGGTGAATTTTGACCTTATTCGGTATTATTCGGACATGAAATTAATCGGTGTTGTTATTTTTCGTGGTCAGAAGAAGCGTTCGCGCAAATTCAGCCAGAAAATTTAAACCACCAGCGAAAATACAGCGTAGTACAGTATACGTTGTTAAAGAAGTTCATTGATAACTACGTGCAACTATTTAATTGCTATGACTGCATTGGAAAGTGAAGGGTCAAATGAGACAGGATGGTCAGAGAGGAAACGTAAGGAGAAAAGGAGTGGGGCAAGACAGATGGCAAGAGCTAGAGAGCAACAGGGAGAGAGCTAGAGAGCAACAGGGAGAGCGGTGAGCGAAGAGAGCACAGGGAGAGAGCGAGAGAGCAACAGGGGAGAGCGGAGAGAGCAACAGATGAGAGCCGAGAAGCAACAGGGAGAGCGAGAGAGCACAAGTGAGAGCGATTGAGAGCAAAGGCGGCGATGAGAGCAACAGGGAGAGAGACGAGAGCAAAGGGAGAGAGCATAGAGATCAACAGGAGAGAGCGACGAGAGCAACAGGGAGAGAGCCGAGGAGAGCACACAGTTGAGAGCGAGGGAACATGGTGGGAGCGAGAGAGCAACAGCGAGAGCGAAGACTAGCACAGCGGAGAGAGCGATGAGCACAGGGAGGCCACAGAGGAGAGTCAACAGAGGACGAGAGCGAGAGCAGACAGGGAGGAGGAGAGCACAGGGAGCAGACGAGAAGAGAAACAGGGAGAGCGAAGAGAGAGGCAACAGGGATGGAGCTAGAGAGCAACAGGGAGAGCGAGAGACAGCAACAGTGAAGAGCAGCGAGAGGAGCAACAGTGAGGCGATGAGAGACAGTGAGAGAGCGAGAGAGCAACAGGGAGAGAGCGAGAGAGCAACAGGGAGAGCGAGAGAGCAACAGGGAGAGCGAGAGAGCAACAGGGAGAGCGAGAGAGCAACAGGGAGAGCGACGACGAGAAACATGGAGAGGCGATGAGGCAACAGGGGAGATGCGAGAGAGACCAGGGAGAGCGGAGAGCGCAACAGGGAGACGATGGAGCACAGGGAAGAGCGACGGTAGACAACGGAGAGCGACGAGAGCACAGGGAACGAGCGAGAGAGCAACATGAGAGCGGAGAGAGACAACAGAGAGGAGCTAGAGTGCAACATGGGGAGCGAGAGAGCAACGTGAGAGAGCGAGAGAGCAACAGGGGAGGCGAGGAGGCAACAGTGAGAGAGCGACGAGAGCAACAGGGATAAGCGAGAGAGCACAGGCGAGAGCGAGGGCAACAGGGAGGAGCTATGAGAGCAAAGGGAGAGCGAGAGAGCAACAGGGAGAGCGAGAGAGCAACAGGGAGAGCGAGAGAGCAACAGGGAGAGAGCGAGAGAGCAACAGGGAGAGAGCGAGAGAGCAACAGTGAGAGAGCGAGAAAGCAACAGGGAGAGAGCGAGAGAGCAACATGGAGAAAGCGAGAGAGCAACAGGGAGAGAAAACAAGAGAGAGAAGGTAATGAGGTATAAAAACAATCTATACTCACTGTTACACTGATCACAGGCATATACGTTTCCTTCTAACGATTCTTTCTCTGTAAATTTGGCTAGCATTTCTGAAACCAAACAAGTGCAAACTATGCAGGATAAGCTTATATACCGGCTACTACACGAAATAATGCAGATTTAGTGCCAATTTTACCCATCCATATTTCTGACGTAATTAGTGGGCAACCTATCTTTCACAAAGTATAAGATGTGAAAAACTATTTAAAGAGAAAACTGTTCAAACAATTAATTGCATCATTTGCACCCTAGGCAGGTGTCTTAATGAAGCAAATAGATGAGAAACCGTGAAAATGTGCTGATACTACATAGGTGTCTTCAGACGAGTACTGTAAACAGTTATAAGATTGGTGTATGTGTGTGACAGCAATTACTGAACCTGACACCATGCCACAGATTTCGTATGCCATTTCACTACCTGTTAGGTCACAGTTGTCTTCTGAAAAGCTTCCCTCGGGAGAGTTCAGAACGTTGTACTTATCTGGGAACTCCAGTGACAGGTCCCAAAAGGGCTCGTAAGTGTGAGACTTGTGACCACATGCTACGCACGACACCTGTGACAGTGCACATACAAAGAGTTTGCTTATATGCTACACGCTACATTTCTCTATATTTTAATGATGAGATGGTATAATTGATAGTAGTCTTGGTTACTAAATAGTTTGATTATCACCATGGTCAGTATCGCAATACAATCCTGTAGATGGAAGAAAGGCGCAATAAATAAATCTGGAACACATCACGTGCTTAGAACAGAACATACTTAGCATATGGAAGTGTTACACACAAGGCACAGGTGAGTGACTCACAGAAGAACTAATAAATAATATTAAATGTTATTCTTCATTATTATCTGATAACTAGGCTAGTACGTATACGTATGCACCCATGCACACACCCACCCAATATGCAAACACCCACCCAATGTGCGTGCACACACCCACCCCAACACAGGTACATCAGCACTTTTAAGATATGAATAACTGATATGTAAATAGCAGTATGTAATAGGTATAATCAGATACCCAAGTTCACCTCACTGACTAGTTCTCCTTGGAATATATTTTTAAGCAGGGTCTTGGGCAGGGTAATGTTGTATGTGACCGGCACATACGTCCAACCGCGTGGACACTTGCTGTTTAAGCTTCGTGTCAATGCGTTTTCCTGGGGAAGCATGTCAGTGAGCTCAGCCTGCAGTCGTTCCACCAACTCACTGCAATACAAGAGCATTCCAACGATAAAATTTATTTGTTTGTAATATTAAGCTAGTGATATACTCCTATGTATAATAATGTTCTAAACATATTTTTAATTGTTATCATTTACTTTACCATCTGTGACTAAAGATTCTGGAATGTGCTGGAAAAATTATGTTCACGTCAAATCTGGTTGCTGAGCAATTCTGCGTTATCGCTGCATATTTCTGCACCTGCACTTTTACTGCACTGCACTGCTGTAACATGCTGTACAGAAATACAACTTCACGATAATTGTGTACGCACCACAAAAACTCTTGAGCATCTTGCTGTGAGAAACCCTTGAAAGAAGGAATAGCCTTCCACACGGCATGCAGCAGGGAGTGTGGGCTTACGATGGCCCACTTCGCTGACCACAGCACACGGTAAAGGTCGTGAAGCTCATGACACAGTGACCTGTAAACATCATAGCCCAGTTGTTCTAGACGTGCGTGGTGCAGGTCAGCGCTCACACGGACGTGCGTGGTGCCACCGGTCAACGCTCACACGGACGTGCGTGGTGCCACAGGTCAGCGCTCGCACGGACGTGCGTGGTGCCACCGGTCAATGCTCACACGGACGCGCGTGGTGCCACCGGTCAACGCTCACACGGACGTGCGTGGTGACACCGGTCAATGCTCACACGGACGTGTGTGGTGCCACCGATCAGCGCTCGCACGGACGTGCGTGGTGCCATAGGTTAGTGCTCACACGGACGTGCGTGGTGCCACAGGTCAGCGCTCACACAGACGTGCGTGGCACCGGTCAGCGCTCACACAGACGTGCGTGGCACCGGTCAGCGCTCACACGGACGTGCGTGGTGCCACAGGTCAGTGCTCGCACGGACGTGTGTGGTGCCACAGGTCAGCGCTCACACGGACGTGCGTGGTGCCACCGATCAGCGCTCACACAGACGTGCGTGGTGCCACCAGTCAGCGCTCACACGGACGTGTGTGGTGCCATAGGTCAGCGCTCACACGGACGTGCGTGGTGCCACAGGTCAGCGCTCACACGGACGCGCGTGGTGCCACAGGTCAGCGCTCACACGGACGTGCGTGGTGCCACCGGTCAGCGCTCACACGGACGTGCGTGGTGCCACAGGTCAGCGCTCACACGGACGTGCGTGGTGCCACCGGTCAGCGCTCGCACGGACGTGTGTGGTGCCACAGGTCAGTGCTCACACGGACGTGTGTGGTGGCACCGGTCAGCGCTCACACGGACGTGTGTGGTGCCACAGGTCAGCGCTCACACGGACGTGCGTGGTGCCGGTCAGCGCTCACACGGACGTGCGTGGTGCCGGTCAGCGCTCACACGGACGTGCGTGGTGCCACAGGTCAGCGCTCACACGGACGTGCATGGTGCCATCGGTCAGCGCTTGCACAGACGTGCGTGGTGCCACAGGTCAGTGCTCGCAAGGACGTGTGTGGTGCCACAGGTCAGCGCTCACACAGACGTGTGGCACCACCGATCAGCGCTCACACAGACGTGCACGACACCGGTCAGCGCTCACACAGACGTGCATAGCACCGATCAGCGCTCACACGGACGTGCGTGGTGCCACCGGTCAACGCTCACACGGACGTGCGTGGTGCCACCGGTCAACGCTCACACGGACGTGCGTGGTGCCACCGGTCAACGCTCACACGGACGTGCGTGGTGCCCCCGGTCAGCGCTCACACGGACGTGCGTGGTTTCTTCACGTCGCCGTCGTCCGGCGGCGCGGCGCCGTCCACGCTCAGCGCACGCTTCAGCATCGCCGGCTTGAAGGTCACCTCGTCGTCCTCCTCGTCGGAGCTGTTCGGCCGCAGTGTCGCGCTGACCCCAACCTCCGACCCCGCCAGTGGTGGCGGCACACCGATCCCGTCAGCGGGGGGAGGGGCGGCGACCGCGGCGGTGATGGCAGCGGGCGGCGGGGCGGCGACTACCGGCGTGGGGACGCGTGCGTAAAAGAGAATGTAGGCCTGGCTCTGAAGGACCTCATCGACGGAGCATGGCTCCAGCCTCGCATCGTTGCAGTGCACCCACGAGTCTGCAGCAGAAACGTAGCAACAACGTTAAAGGGATACTTTCCCCAAGAATTTTAGTATATTATTTCATTTTATATAATATTTCAGTATATTATTATGATGGTAAGTGCATAAATAATAGCATATGCCTAGAAATTTCTATAATTACGCATTCACGCTTGTCATAACACAACAGTACATTTCAACATCTTTTATTTTGACCGCTGACATGACACCGCGCAGCAGACGTAGCGTCCAACATTAACCACCGACCTCTGACGCTCGCAACGCGCACTCTAGCTACGCCCTACCGAGTGGAAATGTTCTAGCCAGACGTTGCAGTGAAATTAACTTAAATAAATCATAAAACTTTTCCTGCTCTGCAACTCGACATTCCAAGTAGTGATGAGGTAGCCCAACGTAAAACCACGAATAAATGAGACATTCACCACTAGTGTACTCTTCTTGTACTGCAACTTGGCATTCCAAAGTATTAATAAGATTCAGATGTTAAACTAACTCAAATAGAATCTACTACAGAACTAGGGAATGCATCTCTCAATACACTCACCTTGCAGTATAACTGGCTATTTCAAAATACAAGTATATTTCTGATGTGTACAGATATCCAGTTGCGGGAAAAAGAATTAAGGGCATAAAATGGGGTATATCAATCTGCGTAGCTGGCCTGTGTTCACACAAGACCCTGCAACAATACTACGCAAGGTACTGCGCAAACTCGTGCGACTGCTCGTTTTCACACGCCAGTTATATTGTCGTAGTGTGTTACCCTCAACGTTGAGGCCTGGAGTTACACAGACACAAAGACCCACGGTGCAGGTTCGGGGGGCGGGGCACATTAATCTTACTGCATTTTTTAAAATATTATTATTATAAATTATATTTATACTATATATATATGAATATATATTATATATATTATATTATAAATTTTATTATAATGAAAACAAACTTACTGGCGTTGGGGTTCCAGCAGTTGCAGGTGTAGTGACCGGATCCGAAGCCGCGGCCGTGGTGCATGATGACGCCCATCAGCTCATACTCGTAGCTCTCGTCCGTCGACGCCGGGTTGCAGTACGGCCACACGTTCAGCCGGTGCTCAAAACTTCACGTGTGCTTGATCTTCTCTCGGTGAAGCCTGCCTGCCCACCTGCGCGTATGACGAAGAGGCGATAAACATGTAACCGGCATAACAACAGGTATCACATACAGTAGCATGCTAATTAACTAACAATGTGAAGCGAAAGTGTCTCGCCCATTTCTCTCAGTGAAGCCTGCCTGCCCACCTGCGCGTACGACGAAGAGATGGTAAGACAGCGGTATCACACACAGTAGCATGCTAAATTAACTTGAAATTTGAAAGAACGACAAGAAACTTTATACTATATTTACTTTGAAATTGACTTGAACGGTGAAACGAAAAGGTGACAAGTGTGTCACCCATTTATCTCAAGTGTAAAGTATTCGTAAAAAATTACCACAGAGTAATTGTGCAGACATCTTTTTCGACATGATCCATATATCTAGATATCAGCATAATATCATACAGTTTCATTTCCAAGCATTGCGATAAAAACTCCTGCACGTGAAAACATGCGCACGCAGGCATCACTCACACACGCACGCACGCACAGCCTCGCACAACTTTCACAGTTTTCATACGTAAATATTTTCATCTGGATCTGGATCCACCACTCTACCTGAATCTCTTCAGATGCAGGCGCAGTATCTTGGGGGTTCGATGAACCATCAGGCTCTTTCTCGCTAGGTGAGGTGAAGGCTTCTTAGAGGTGGAACGTCTTCGACCTGCAAGTCAATCGAGATGCTCTTACCACGATGACATTGTTCACGACTACTGCACTCATAGACAGGTAACCCAATACTGTATATGCTATATTTTTCGCGTACAGACATTTTCGCGAATTCAGACTTGACGGACAATTTCGCGATTGGTTAATTTCGCGGTCGGTGAATTATGACTTATTCCGGTATTATTCGGAATGAATTTAATCGCGTGTTGTTTATTTTCGTGGTCAGAGAGCCCTGTTCCGCGAAATTCGCGAAAATTAAACCACCACAAAAAATACAGCGTATACAGTATACAGTTTTAAAGAGTTCATTGTAAACTACAGTGCACCTATTATATTGCTTTGATGCATCTGGGGAAAGTGAAGGGTCAAATGAGACAGGGATGGTCAGAGAGAGGAAACGTAAGGAGGAAAAGGAGTGGGGCAAGACAGATTGGCAAGAGCTAGAGAGCAACAGGGGGAGAGCTAGAGAGACAGGAGAGGAGTGAGAGCACAGGAGAGAGCGAGAGAGCACAGGTGGGCGAAGAGCAACAGTGAGAGCGGAGAGCACAGGGAGAGCAGAGGAAGCAACGTGAGAGCGAGAGGCCAACAGAATGAGCGCAGAGAGCAACAGGGAGAGAGCGGAGACAACAGGGAGGGAGAGCAAGAGAGCAACAGGGATGAGAGCGGAGCAGCAACAGGGAGAGCACGCAGAGGCATACAGTGAGAGCGAGAGAGCCAACAGGGAGGCGAGAGAGCAACAGTGGAGAGCGAGATAGCACAGGGGAGAGAGCGAGAGCAACAGTTCGGAGAGCACGAGAGAGCAACAGGGAGAGAGCGGAGAGCAACAGGGAGAGCGAGAGGCAACAGAGAGATGCGAGAGGAGCAACATGGAGAGGAGAGAGCAACAGGGAGAGAGCCGTAGAGAGCAACAGGGGAGAAGCGAGAGAGAACAGATGACGAGAGGAGGAGAGCAACGGAGAGCGAGAGAGCAACAGTGAGAGAGCCGAGAGAGCAACAGGGATGAGAGCGAGAGAGCAACAGGTCGAGAGCGAGGAGAGCCAAGGAGAGAGCAGTTGGAGAGCAACAGGCGAGAGCGAGAAGACAGGAGAGCGAGGTTGGTGTGGGGAGAGGCTCGAGGAGAGTGGAGGAGAGACCCGAGGGGCAACAGCGGAGGAGGCAGCCGCAGGGAGAGCAACAGGTGAGTGTTAGCCAGGGTGCCGGAGAGCGGGACAAGAGGAGTCACTAAGCTAAAAGAAAAGGAGACAACATTGCGGGATGAGCGGAGGAGGCAACATTGGTAGATAGGTGGGTCTGAGTGTGTGAGGCAACAGGAGGAGAGCTGGGAGGGAACGGGGAGGAGCGGAGGGGAGAGCAACAAGTGAGAGACGGGAGAGGGGAGCCAACACTGAGAGCGAGAGAGCAACAGCTGAGGAGAGCGATGAGAGGCAACAGGATAGCGAGAGCAGCAACAGGGGAGGCTCGAGAGGACCAACAGGGAGAGAGCTAGAGAGCAACAGGACGAGCGAGAGAGGCAACAGGGAGCAGCGAGACGAGCAACAGGGAGAGCGACGAGCAGCAACAGCGGAGAGAAGCTAGAGAGCAACAGGGAGAGCGATGAGAAGCACAGGGAGAGCGAGGAACAACAGGGACTGAGACGCGAGAGAGCCCAACAGGGAGAGAGCGAGAGAGCAGCAGTGATCTGAGAGCGAGAAAAGCACAGGGATGGAGAGCGAGAGAGCAACCATGGAGAAAGCGAGAGAGCAACAGGGAGAGAAAACAAGAGAGGAGAAGTAATGAGGTATAAAAACAATAATATACTCCGACTGTTTACACTGCATCACAGGCATGATTACGTTCCTTCTAACGATTCTTTCTCATGTAAATTTGGCTAGCATTTCTGAAACCAACAATGCAAACTATGCAGGATCAAGCTTATATACCGGTATACACGGAAAATAATGCAGATTTTAGTGCCAAATTTATTACCCATCCATATTTCTGACGTAATTAGTGGGCAAACCTATCTTTCACAAGTATTAAGCATGTGAAAAAACGATTTAAAGAGAAAAACTGTTCAAACAATTAATTGCCATCATTTTCACCCTTAGGCACGGTTGTCTTAATGAAGCCACATAGCATGGAAACCCGTGAAAATGCTGCTGATACTACATAGGTGTCTTGCAGACGAGTACTGTAAACAGTTATAAGATTGGGCTGTATGTGTTGACAGCCTTACTGAACCTGACACCATGCCACAGATTTCGTATGCCATTTCACTTACCTGTTAAGGTCACAGCTTGTCTTCTGAAAAGCTTCCCTCGGTGAGAGTCAGAACGTTTGTACTTATCTCGAACTCCAGTGACAGGTCCCAAAAGGGCTCGTAAGTGTGAGACTTGTGACCACATGCTACCACGGACTCCCCGATAAATCACAACCACCACCCTCGCCGTCGCTTACACACCCGGCCGCCGACCAACCCTACCTTCCCGACACTACACCACCACGACCACACCACGGCCCGAATACAATCACGACCTCCCCCTCACGACGCCAACTCCACAATAACAAATCTACCGCCTAACAACAACACCGAACAACAGCTCCACACCGACACCGCAACGACACCTGTGACAGCGCAACATCAAGGAGTTGGCCTTAATATGCTACACGCTACATTTCCTATATTTTTACAATGATGAGATGGTATACATGTATAGTAGTCGTTTGTTACTAAATAGTTTGATTATCACCATGGTCAGTATCGCAATACAATCCTGTAGATGGAAGAAAGGAGGCAATAAAATAAATCTGAACACATCACGTGCTTAGAACAGCATACTTAGCATATGGCAAGTGTCTCACACAACGTGAGTGACTCAACAGAAGAACTAAAAATAATATTAAATGTTATTCTTCATTATTATCTGATTAACTAGCTAGTACGTATACGTATGCACCCATGCACACACCCACCCAATATGCAAACAACCCACCCAATGTGCACACACCCACCCCAACACAGGTACATCAGCACTTTTAAGATACTGAATAAACTGATATGTAATGCAGTATGTAATAGGTATACATCAGATACCCAAGTTCACCTCACTGACTAGTTCTCCTTGGATATATTTTTAAGCGGGTCTTTGGCAGGGGGTAATGTTGTATGTGACCGGCACATACGTCCAACCGCCGTGACACTTGCTGTTTAAGCTTCGTGTCAATGCGTTTTCCTGGCGGAAAGCATGTAGTGAGCTCAGCCTGCAGTCGTTCCACCAACTCACTGCAATACAAGAGCAGTGTCCAACGATAAAATTTATTTGTGTATGTAGATATTAAGCTAGTGATATACTCCCTATGTATAATAATGTTCTAAAACATATTTTTAATTGTTATATTACTTTACCACTTTACCATCTGTGACTAAAGATTCTGGAATGTGCTGCAAAAATATGTTCACGTCAAATCTGCTGTGCTGAGCAATCTGCGTATACGCTGCAATTTCTGCACCTGCACTTTTACTGCACTGCACTGTGTAACATGCTGTACAAGAAATACAACTTCACGTAATTGTGTACGACCACAAAAACTCTTGGCATCTTGCTGCTGAGAAAACCCTTGAAAGAAGGAATTGCCTTCCACACGCGCATGCAGCGGAGTGTGGGCTTACGATGGCCCACTTCGCTGACCACAGCACACGTGTAAAGGTCGTGAAGCTCACATGACACCAGTGACCTGTAAACATCATAGCAGTTGTTCACGCTACGTGTGGAGAACAAAACATCATAGCCCAGTTGTTCACCCTACGTGTGGAGAACAAAACATCATAGCCCAGTTGTTCACCCTACGTGTGGAGAACAAAACATCATAGCCCAGTTGTTCACCCTGCGTGTGGAGAACAAAACATCATGGCCCAGTTGTTCACCGCACATGTAGAGAACAGGCAGCAGCAGCCACAATATGCTCTCGTGGTTGCAAAATTATTCCTAATCTATTGCCACTTTCCTATAGCATTTCATTCGGACATTCCAGTAACTGCTAGAATGGATGCCATTCCTTAACAATACGAACTGGAATAAACGGATAAAACACAGACTAAACATGTAAATGGTGCAAAACACACAGACAGCCACAGACTATTAGGGACCAAATTAGCAGCTAACTGATACTTTCGTCATTATATCATCTATAATCATTATACTGATTCCCAATCATCTACGCATGGTACACTTCAATAGCTCACTCACTATGCACGAGCGTGTGAGTGGGACGATAGGGTACCAGTCTAGTAAGTAATGCAAACCAAAACGAAGATTGATGCAATACACAATATAATACACAATTTCATAACATATCAAGAGTACTGCAATAGTATTGCAATAGTTTTTCAGTTACTCCAATAGTATTAGTATTCACAATATTATTTTCATTATCGCAATATCACAATAGTAGAATTGCACCCCATAGTCACTCCCTAATCATAAACGATCTCGTAGTGCCAACGTAGTGCTTTTGGTGCAAGTACTCAATGAGTACTCAATGCATAAGCGCATGTTGGTAACATTACAAAAAAGTGCTGATCCGATACTTACACCGTGTCGTCTGTCTTGCCTGCTTTATTCTCCACTGCCATCTTCTGCAGACCAGCACCAGATGCACTGGGGCAGCTGCCACCATTAAGGCCACCCTGTATGCAGCCCTTGCCCTTAGTGCTGGACTTGGTGCCTGATCCTACTTTACCACCGTTATCCTGCTTCTTACTCCAACAACTCTTATCCTTCTGCTCAACATGCTACAGTCGTAACCGTCGTGTATAACAAAATAAAATAGCATTGAGCAATATAGAATGGAAGCAAATCCTAATGAAGCAATACCACCAAATATAGAATGTTCAGTAACACCTGATGATGTCTGTCTGCACAAGATTCCACAATTAAGATAGCACTGACCAAAATAGAATCGAACCACACAGAATAGGATTACACTACTCAAGATACTATAATAACAGGCACCTATAACATACCAACCTATAATATCATCGATAATGCAAGCATATAATCAGTAACTATGGTGATGTCTGCCTGAATTTACCGTGATTATATTATGATTGTATTCTATGATATTATTATATTGTAACGATTATAATATGGCACTGAAACTAATTTGCAGCTACCATAAAAATAATACGCACCTGCTTTGCTTCTTGTGTCGTCTGCCTCGCAAAGACTCGCACTGTTGTCATGTTCTTTCCAGACTTATAGCACTTGTTCTTATTCTTGCCCGTGTTTGTATAGGCGTTACAGTGAGCAACCTTCATGTTGATGAAATATTCTCTGAACTCTGTTATGTGTCTGAAAAGTGGGGGAATTCACAGGTATTGCCATTACTGCCATATTTTTTCAATATTCTTTAAGAATACTGACTTGCTTGCACTTGCTCTCAATCTCTCTTTGGCTATGCATCTCGTTCTCTCTCTATGTGTATCACACACATGAATGCACACAATACCTTACACATTCACTGATCTTTAACCATAGACAGAATTTCTGACATGCCGAGCAAGTAAATATTGTAAAGCCTAGTCCTCTTCCTCAAAATTAAATAGCATCATTTCACCATCTTTTCAAGATATCGTAAGCAATGGATTCAGACATTGGCATGGATTTAGCAACATAGATGTTCAATTTCAGCATGGTGAAGCAAATTTAACTTTTCAAACTTCACCACACTGCGTGACACCTATGGCTACATTGGAAAAAAATTCACTGCACTAAATTTTGTAAAATGAAAATTAAGACCAATGACAATGATTTCAAGCTTAGATGTCTTACCCTCCAATTTACACATGGATTCCCAATTTAGGGCAATTAGCAGTATAAAAATATTATAAAAATGTTAATAAGTATGCATACCCCAGCACTTGTATGATACTGTTCATGTAGCATGTGTTCCCAAGATTTCGTAAGCCAGTCACTCCAGGCTTAAACGCGTGTTTCCTTTTTGGCACCACAGAAGGAGCCACAGGTTCCGCCTTCTCTTCCTTGACTGGTGTTGGTGCGGATGCCATGGTTTTTATGGCACGCACATAATCACGCCAGGCATAGAATGTGCTGCTCAGGAGGACAAAGCGTCGGTGTCGGAAGGCAGTAAAAATCTTGTCAGCCTCCCGTAGAACTTGCTCGGCCGACCTGCAAAATTTCTGTGGTTAGAACTGCCTGGAAAATGTCAGAAAGAAATGTCAAAAGGAAATGGCGTGTTAAAACAATCATTTCTCAAATAATCCAAACAATAAATTTAAACAAATTTAAACTCAGCTGTCAGCGTAAATATTACCGATTCCTTCTGCATAAAAATTATTACGCATTGCTGCTGTTATAGGCTATAAAACAACAGATGTGCGCCAGCCATCTTCAGAATCACGATAATGGAATGTTCAAACGGTCCCATGAAACAAACGCATCTAGTTACGTGACGCAAATATTTGTACACTGGTACCTATCTCGAAATGTATACAAAGGTAATTGACCTAGCGTAGATACAGGGTTCCGGTCTCACGAGAGCAAAAATCACGCGCTAGGTTTGTTGACATATAAGTAAACAATCTACTCTGAAATGCAGATCGGTGCAAATATTGGTGGAAAGAATGTTGTGCGAGTGTTATATGACACGTTAGCCTTACTAAATGCATTTGGTGTTATGCAAGGAGTACCGTTAAGTATCAGAACGGTTAAAAAATTATGAAAACGTTTGATAAAAACATGAGAAATCCTTGCTTTAAAACTTCTATATTGCTATTTCACTTAAAATTGTTCACAAGCAATAAATAATTAGCCACTAAAGTGACTTGACTAGTGACTCATAATAACCAGTAGTCACCAACAGCAGTGCTCAATTTTAAGGTTTTTTTTGGGTTGTCCGGAGGACAGCCAAGAGAGTAGCATATGGTTGTCCCTCAAGAGTTTTGGTTGTCCGGATATTATTTAAACATATGTGCTGCATGCGCTCTGCTCACGTGATGCTCAGTGCTGTAAAGCAAAAGGCCTAATCATGTACATTTTGTACGTATTGCAGTGACAGCAGACATGGCCATTCGCATTGTTTCACTCATTATATGAAGAGAATAAAATATTGGTAATGTGTAAATGATGCTGGGATCAATGACGTATAATAATAGTAATTAAAAGTTGCATGAAATTTATTTCATAACATTTACATTAAGTTAACTAACACTACTAACATTACTAACACTATGTGTCAAGTCACAGATGAGTAAAAATTGAAAATTAACACGAAACATTGTGTTGTTAAACACGTGATGTTATACTTTGTATCAAGCAAGCCAAACAATGCGTTTAGACATGTACGTTTGCAGCGTATTGTGCAACCCTGGCCGTATGTAAAATGAACGCGCGCATTATGAATATAATTTTTTTTTATAGAGGTTGGACACCGGACAACCACGGAAGCAATTTTTAGTTGCCCGAGAGAAAATCCAGTCGTCACGGACGACCGGACGACTGTTAAAATTGAGCCCTGCAACAGTGACCAGTAGTGACTATTATCTACCCTATAGTTAACCCTAACTCACTCAGATTCGCCAGAATTCACAATGGCAGAGCGCAGGAAGCGACCACTCCGAACCTCCGGCACCACACCTTCGAAGTTCTGCGTTGCTATGGCACTGAGCATAGTGCGAAGCAGCTTGATGTCACCGGCGGCGTTATCATTGAGCACATACTCCTCACAAATGTAGCTGCCAGAGATCGGTCACAGAATCAAAGTCAGTCAATCATGGTGAACAGGTCTTAATGTAAAAGTGAGAATGAGCTGAGGACTAACGAGATATGCACGTGGTATTTTGTTGCTCGTCTTCTGGTGTGCCATCGGTAAGTTATTAAAAATACTGTGAATTTATTTTCTTACTGCACTGTTTTGCATCGGTCGTGAATGAATTTGGTTTTAGATTATGATTTAGTGAATGAATTTAGGTTACGATGCAAAGATGAGGTTGTGATGGAGTTGTGTGACTCACCCAATGACGAGTGAGCCAATATTATCTGTCTCTATTGTCATAATTCAGATAATGGTTGCACCTACATGGTATGACACTACACAAAAGATTTCCATGCATGTACCTCATTGCTCATTCTGCGGGGTTCTTCATAGCAAAGTCAAAGATAAAACCTGAGTAATAGGATATTTAATATTTTGTTTGAGCTACTCACTGACTCAACAGGCCATATAATGTGACGAAAGAGCTTCATGCAGGTTCATGCATCAACACGCATAATTAGAAAATTTTGGCTTGTAAATTTTCAGTGTTACAGCTGGTATGGACTAGAAGATTGCAAGCATGCAAAAACAGGATGAACTAAAAATAATATAAACAAAGTGATATTAGGTACGATAGAGGGCTATTTACTTATTTTATACTACTAATATAAAAATATGTGTGTGAGCAATGGTTAGACGTGGGGTTTTCTTTGGCTACATTAACTATGAAAGAAGTTGCAAGCTCTAACAGCATCCAGCAGCTAAAGATGTGCAAAAGGATGATAAATGGCAAACAGAACACCATCGACCATAGCACTCACCAGTAAACGTATTTCTCATTCACTTCAATAGCTATCGGATGCTGAAATACAAAACAATGCAACACAAAGTTAACACAAACATGATCAGGATCGCTACCTCTCTAAGGTTTTGGTACTAGCAGGTTACAAAACGTCTTGCTCTGAACCACTTGCCGCAATTCTTTTATGAAACAAGCCTTTTAGATAATACAATAGATTGAAGCAAGCCTGGTAGCACATGTCAGTGATTGGTTGTGCATAAATGAATAGCACTGCATGGCTTCGGTACTTAACAACTATCATAGCTTAAGCTCAAAATAGAAAGAAGCCTATTGACAATATCAATGATACATCCTGTAATGTTTATATGACCTCTTACAAGAATTGCACTGACTATTTTATAATAATATATTGTTATTTGTCTGTTTCACAATGGTAAATTGACAGGTGTAGGTTTTGAGTATCTATCATGTGTTCTGGTTTTCTCTGGCAGTACTGGAGATTAGTTAACTGTTTTGGTCAGTAGATACTAATGCTAATGCCATGTACAGCAATATCAAGAGCTCATTTTATACAACATTTTAAAAATGTTGTATAAGAAACTGCCATATAATATTAATGTCCACAGTTGTTCCACTAAAGTGACATAAATATATAACCAGATAACAGTAACTGCTACTGTATATATAAATATACTAATGCATACAGCATATTGTACCTTTACTTGTACTCATACAGACAGATACACACTGTACGAGGAAACCTTAAATTGCTCCATCATTCACGGTTGCTACTATTATTCAGAGCAATAGATAAAATTCAATTATAGATGATTGACCCACATTTCAGTCACACATCTGATGTGAGTCTGCTCTTTTAAAAAGAAAAAAACAGAATATCAAAGCATAATTTTAACTAATGATTTACACCGGCAGTTGCACCTTATTGACAACCACTGGCAATTGCGATGGTGAAAAATATTATCCACGCTGAAACCTGCTGTATTCTTACCCCAGCTTCCTGGAAATGTTTCACTGCATGTTCATCATTGAATCTGCCACAGCCAACATGCTTGCAGTTCAGGCAAGCCTGAAATACGGGCGGGAGAGTCACATTCTATTCTCAGCAGATTAGTAAATACAACAACAAAACATAGCCAACTTTGGATTTTTGTCGTTTTTGCCGTTTCTGTGAATGAATGCATCAAAATGGTTTCAGGCACTTTTGTTCTAGCCATTCATCATAATTAACACGATCTTAAACATCTGTAGTGGCCAGTAATTCAGATCACACTGGCTGGTTGTCCAAATAACTCTAGGTATGTATATATCCGTCTGACATCAGTGATATGAGCTGTTATCAATACTCACACACCTACAGCTTTAGTACTCTATTGTTAATTATATGAATCAGCAGTAAAGGAGCAAATGGAACTCACCCATACACTTTCGGTTGTACCACACACAATGCACACCCATTTTTGAGGGTTTAGAATTGAATGGTTGTCACCAAGGTTGAACTTTGTTACATGCTTGCACTTGTCCATGCTTTCTTTTGCGTAATTTTCTGAAAACACAAATACTCAATTGCAGTAGTCATAAGTACCTTTGTACCCTATGCATAAGATCCAATGTTTTAGGATCAGCTCTCTCACATCTCAGTTTAGGAAAAACTAACACAGCAGTCCCTGCTTTATCGGGACAGGTCGGCAACTATAAAATTGCCCTGATTAATCGATGGTCACATTAAGTGATGAACACATTTCCAGTCGCACATTGATGCCTACTTGTAACAACCAATTTGTAAGTTTGACTCTGTCTTAGTTTGGCCTCACTCTGCAGATGGACAATATGTAGTAGTTTGTTTTAGTTTGGCCTCATTACAGTTCACATACACACACAGAACAATTATACACACAGATCATCCCTGATCACAAGATTAAACCTCAGTCTAATGAGCATTACCATAATTTTTTTTGCCGTGCAACCGCACCTCAAAGTTGAATCTACAATGACTAATGCAAAACTCAATGAGATTACTGATAATGTGGATAATGTAAATGCAAGTAGGGCAACTACACAGAACACAACTGTGTAATAATGATAGTAATCATTTGTGAGGTGTCAAATTAATTGCACGGTTTCTTATACATAAGAGGCACAGTAGCGCACCGCCGTTGTCAAATTTAACATCGTCGTTGCGAAAATGTTCCAAGACATTCAATTTTATTTTAAATTTTACTGGGGGACAATGCGAGAGGAACGCCTTTGAACCCATCATGCACGTTTTTCCCAAACTGGTCATTACCTCCTTTGTCTAATTTTCCCAGAGAAGAAACACTGAATTGGAAAAGCTGGTACTTCAGCTCAAATATAAATCCTTTGCAATTTTTTAAGAATTTTACAGAACTAAGAAGAACTTGAAAACTAAATTCAAATTCCTTCACTTCTGTAATATAATCATAAAGGATTAATAAACATTACACATGATACAAAACAATTGTACAGATACCTTGGTTCTATGTATTATAAATGTAAAAATTATTATTATTACTATATTTATCACTGTTAAAATGTACAACCCATGGTCCATTAGAACTGCCAATTTCCACAAAATCTAATTTAATCTAAATCTAAATTGTTTCAAAATCGAAACCTCTATTTGCTACAGATCACTATTAAAATCCACATTCCCGGTATCTATATTGTCTTTAACAACATAAAATAAGTCACAAAATACACTCATCATTCAGGTTAATTAAAGGATGTGCTAAGATGGGCAAAATGTACGTGATGAATTTTGTAATGTAAGTTAATTCCCCATTAGCTTCCATTATATAATTGGATATGCATTTCCATAAAAATTTGATTGACCACATTAAGTAATTCAATAATACATTATTTTTCAATATAATATGAATGGGTGTTAACAGACAAAAATCCTGTCACAAAAGGCCATGGGCATCCAGGTAGGTATACACACATGGACGAAATATTGGAGGGCTGCTAATGTTTTAAAACCAAAAAAGGGGTCGAAACAATTGCTGCTGCATAACTTCCCAGGTTTAAAATTACTTGATTGTGATAACAAATCGACTTTGACGACTGTAACCAAGCAGAAATTATGTTTAAAGTAGCATCAGATGAGGTGATACAATGGGATTTAGTGAAAAGAAGAGGGTAGGGCACAGAATTTATTCTGGATAAGTTGTGAATGTCTAATTATATTAGAACCCGACTCTGAATACTTGTCAATGAAGTATCAAAATTTGGACTACGCACTGCAAGGATAGAAATAAGGAGAAAAAAAGAGATGGTCCACAGGACCGTGCATCTAGTTTGAAATTGAGATGGTCCTCCTAAATTTCAAATTGTTTTCTAAAAGTAATGCGGCGTGCAAGCATAAGAAAGACATTTTACATGGTGATAAAATGGTTTAATTATTCACCTACAATGAATGTATCATTGCGATACAGTAAACATCAAAGAAAATTACCGTAAAATGAGACCAAAATATTCAATGGTCCGTCGGACCATTGACTTTGAAAATCGGATGGTCCTCCTGATTATTTGATGGCCCCGGATCATCGGACCATCGCTTATTTCGACCCCTGCACTGTAGTCTGTAGTAATATTGATTGGCATTTAGCAGGCCTATGAATATTATGTTTCAGAGTGAAACCAGTGTCAGATTGTGTCATTATTACTGGACAGAATTCAGCAGTCTATTATAAAATACGTTGTGTATAAACTAGTACTAGTACTAGTAGTAGTACTAGTATTCTATACCGTATACGCAATTTGTAAGATTCAATCAATTCTTCAAGAGTGAACTTGGATTGGAAGACCCCACCTTTATTTGAAAATCTGAAATCGACTGAGTATGTAAGACCTCACAAGTCAGCAGGACCAAGGGCACACTAAATTAATCCTGTGTAGAGTGAGTCGTTTGAGTAACAGCGATACTGATAACACTATAAACAGTAGTAACTGTTACTAAAACAAGCAAATCAAAGATGAATCACATGATCAAAACAAAGAAGCCAGGAGATTACATTTTATGATAAATCTACCTATAACTTGCGCGAATAATAATGAAATCCATTTAGGAAAATAACGACATACTCCCACTGCATATCTAACCTATTTCCACGCAGTTTGGAAAGTGGTATAGTTGCCTTTTGTCGATGAAATTAATGAGGTTAAGTTAGTACGGAGGCCGCCATCATCTTTCTTCACGGTGATTGGTGGAATATTTTACCCAGTATACACGATAAAAATAGTAACAAGTGGCGAATACTCGACCACTGATCTCTATAATATAATTTTATATAATATAATATTATTATAGAGGTTTTATCAGTGGTGCAGGCCACAGGCTATCACGCTGAGAACAATGTATATATATATATATATATTTTATATATTTATATATATTCAACAACAATTGTTCTATATAATTATATATATATACATTCACACTCCTATATATATTATCTTACTCCTGATATTATCAAGAGTGCATAATAGAGATCTCTATTATGCACTCTTGATATTATGTATATATGTATATATGTATATTTCGTTCTCACAGGGTACGTACTGACAACGTGCTAGCATATACTCTAGCTCCTCTCTAGCAAATATTCCAACTGTCAAACTGGAAACCTCGTAAACACGCACGGATGGATTGATACCGTGGATTGATACAGATGGATTGATCTTCAAAGTCAAATAGAGCAGCTAGGGCCGTAGCCTCTGGGTTCAATGGGGCAGCTGCTCCACCCCCGATTTTGAGGCAAATTTAACAAATAAGCTTGTAAGTAATAATCGTAAATAACCCCAACGGGATTATTTTGGTCACTTATCTGTGAAAGCCTTGTCTCAGACCCACCCCTACCACACTATGGACGTCGATCAAGAGCTGCGCCCGTCACTCATCATGCATTACACAGTTGAGTCATGAAATTTTGCCCCCTCGGAATTTGCTCAGACTATACGGCTCCGGAGAGTATATATTGAAGACTGAGAGAATCAAGGTTGATCAAATCGACAGACCAAAACTGCGCAACGCAGCTTCAATTTTACAATAAAAATCAATGACGAAGAACATTCAAATATGAAATGACAGAAACGAAACATGTTTCCCTAGCTAATAGGTTCATTTATTCTGCGTAATCTTGGTTTAGGTGTTAATAAGATGTATATAATATTGTTGTGGCATATAATATAATATGTGTTTTGTGTCTCTAGCCTGACCAGGCATTTCCTCTACGACCACGTGCAGGCTTCGTGCCTGACATCAAAAGAAGGTTGCACCAATCTAAATTCTGTCTGTCCACTTTTTCTCAGCTATTTCACGCTCAACTGAGGTGAGCAGACATATGAAATTTTATCTACTTCGTCACTTGGAGTATTCCATGAATCTGTGCTATCAACTCTAGCTAGGTCCTCTCATTCCATAGACATACGCTGCCATCAATCTCATATGAGAATCAGATAGACATGGACAGGGGCAGACACAGACAGACAGATAGACAGACACACACGCGCGCGCATGCACGCTCATCCCTCCCCCCCCCACACACGCGCGCGCGCACGCACATACATACACACACACACACACACACACACACACACACACACACACACACACACACACACACACACACACACACACACACGACAACGACGACGAGACGAGAGAGAGAGAGAGAGAGAGAGAGAGAGAGAGAGAGAGAGAGAGAAGGAGAGAGAGAGAGAGACAGACAGACATGCAGACAGCGAGAGACAGACAGACAGAAAGAGAGAGAGAGAGAGAGAGAGAGACAGACAGACAGACAAACAGACAGACAGAAGGAGACAGACAGGCAGACAAACAGACACATAGAGAGACGGACAGATAGATAGACACATAAAGAGACAGACAGACAGATAGACAGATAGAGAGACATACAGACACATAGAAAGACATACAAACACATAGAGAGACAGACAGACAGACAGACAGACAGACAGTCAGACACACAGAGAGACAGACAGACAGAGACACACATAGAGAGACAGACAGGCAGAAACACACATAGAGAGAGAGAGACAGACAGAGACACACATAGAGAGACAGACAGACAGAGTTACACATAGAGAGACAGACAGACAGAGATACACATAGAGAGACAGACAGACAGAGACACACATAGAGAGACAGACAGACAGAAATACACATAGAGAGACAGACAGACAGAGACACACATAGAGAGACAGACCGACAAAGACACACATAGATAGACAGACAGACAAAGACACTCATAGAGAGACAGACAGACAAAGACACACATAGATAGACAGACAGACAAAGACACTCATAGAGAGACAGACAGACAAAGACACTCATAGAGAGACAGACAGACAGACAGACAGACACATAGAGAGACAGACAGACAGACAGACAGACACATAAAGAGACAGACAGACACGTAGAGAGAGGCAGACACACAGACATATATAGACAGACAGACAGACAGACACATAGAGAGACAGACAGACAGACAGACACATAAAGAGACAGACAGACACACAGACATATATAGACAGACAGACAGACAGACACATAGAGAGACAGACAGACAGACAGACACATAAAGAGACAGACAGACACGTAGAAAGAGGCAGACACACAGACATATAGACAGACAGACAGACAGACAGACAGACACATAGAGAGACAGACAGCTAAAAGGAAGAGGGGCAGATACAGACAGGCACACAGAGAGAGAGGGAAACTAATAGAGAGGAAAGCACATGGAGAGACAGACACAGAGGGACAGAAACACACAGAGACAGACATGCAGACATAGAGAGAGAAAGAGAGAGAGGGAGAGAAGGTAACGAGATAGAAAAACAATATTGCTTGAATAATTTTAATTTATCAATTTAATTTAAATTTAAATATTTTCTTCTTTAAAGAGAGAGAGGTAGGGAACGGGTACAGACCGGCGCACACACTCATGTACGCACGCACGCACGCACGCACACAGACGCACTAATTCTTATTCCCCATCTTCACTTCGTTTTCTTCCTCCAAAAGTTTACCTGCCCCTTCCATTCACCCCTGTCCCTTCTGCATTATCCACCTTCTCCATCTTCCCCATTTTCTCTCTTCCATTTACCTTATAACCGTTATCTTTATCGAAGTCTATATATTATATTACGGCGCTCCTGCTCGCCTGGTGTGGTTAGCACTAATATATTTTACGTACGAGTCTTCCGCTCTGTAATTGCGCTCCCCTGGATCCAGTATGCTCCAAAGAATGCGTACATTTCCCCAGTTAACGATTTAACCGAACAGAGGGCGCTTGAGGTGCATTAGACGGTAACCGTGCTGTCGGCTAGAAAAATATAATTGTTGGCCGATAGAATATTCAACGTGTATAATATCCCTGTGATTTTTTTCCTACAAAAATGGCGAATGTTCTTGCCGTATTCTCTGGAGATGTGTTTGTGAGATTATACATCCATGCCTGTGTGCAAGCAAAATTAAATTTTCCCTTTTGTGTGAAAGCGAGGGCATGATATATGCTGATGTCATTGTACCGTTGATCACAGTACCGTACGTCATTGATGTCATCCAACCGAACAAAGGGCGCTAGAGGTGCATTAGACGGTAACCGTGCTGTCGGCTAGAAAAATATAATTGTTGGCCGATAGAATATTCAACGTGTATAATATCCCTGTGATTTTTTTCCTACAAAAATGGCGAATGTTCTTGCCGTATTCTCTGGAGATGTGTTTGTGAGATTATACATCCATGCCTGTGTGCAAGCAAAATTAAATTTTCCCTTTTGTGTGAAAGCGAGGGCATGATATATGCTGATGTCATTGTACCGATTAAACTGCCATTATACAATAAACGTATGGTCCTTTACTGCCGAACGGAAACTAGTCTACAACTGAACAGGCGCAAACAAGATTTCATGAAAATATTTCTCGTGAACTCGAGTTAATTATCTTATTATTACAAGAAAAGATATCTTAATTACGAGGAAAACGAGAAAATATCGCGTTATCACGAGATCCTTTCAATTTTGAGATCTTTCGGTTTTGTCGTTATTACGATATCTTTTCTCGTTAGAACGGGGTAATTATTTTGTTATAACAAGAAAAGATATCCCAATAACGAGTTAATTTATTTTTCAGATATTCCAAACGAGCCACCTTAGATATAATTATGTAGGTATAGCGTCCCAACTATTTTGACACCGTGTCGGTATATCTACATTTAAATACAACTGGAGGATTGTACATAGAATTTTGCCGATGCTTCTTAGAATTTTGCCGAATTTAACTGTGGGATTATAGATATTAGCAATTCCGGACGAATGCCCTCTACTTCTTCTTCAGGCCCAGATCTGGAATTTATCAAATCAAGCGGTGCCAATGTTCCGCACAGTCGATTGCCGACTGGCCCCTTCGCGGAAATCGGTTGGTGTACACTTAATAATTGATGTCGAGTGGTCAATCCATTACATGTGCCATTGTTTGTGGAGCGCTGCATTCGTATGTGTTAGATTCCGTATATCACCTTCAGGGCAAGTGTTTCGGAATCGCCCAGCCTGGCACCGTAATCGATTGTACGTATGCCAAGGTATTCAAGGTAGGTTTGACAAAGTCACCAGCAGGCACCTGCAGGGTTGATGTTAGACGCTTTTGTCATAATTACCACTCTGCCACTCGATATTCCACAGAGATTCGCGTAGTCGCGATGGCTCCTCGTTGCAAAGTGCATGATATGGTGTTGATGAAACCTTTCCTTGACTTGAGTCTAGAAGCAGTGGACTAATGATTATTCAGCGGGTGCCGGCTGTTTGTTAGTTGGCGCGTTCGTTCTACCCGGCTAGCAACATCGCGGCTTATATACGTGGAGGTGGGCAATATAACAGCAGCGTTGTAAAGCACGAATGCCAACGGACAGGGCGCTGCCTACTTTGGTTCGGATGGGCAGACAGGGACAGGGAGTCTTGTTATCTTTAATGTCTATGTTGACTACAAGGAACTGCGTGGCGCGCTCGAGCTGTTCCACGCTACTGGGCACGTTCTGCTTCACAGGTTACTACTCCACAGACACGCACGCAACGACGCGGGATATACGCCCAAATCCCTCACACGAGTGAAAACATCATTCGGCGACGCACCTACTTACTAAAACTCGTTATCGGTTTATAGACGACAGTAGTATTCTCTCGGCCGTGTTTCACAGTCATCATCAACATGAAATCTACTTTGTTTGTTTTAGGAATATTTGTCTTCGTTAGTTTTGGTAAGTATATTTAGCCTGTTTATATGACGCTTTGGTTGATATATAGCACCGATTAACATAACAAATATTTATGCTTTTACATATTAATACGCGCATCCCTAGTGCAACAAGGTATCATCTTAGAAGAAGAGTTTCTTTAGGTTAAAGTTTGTAAACACGCCTCCAACGAATGTTGCTAGATTTAATGTTACAACGCTTCAAACATAGGAAGGTAATGGTGAACTAGTTTGTATCGTTCTAAGTACCAGAGAATTTACGATTCACGAGTATTAGTCAGCAACTAATTTTGCACGATATTCATAGTTTATACAATAGAATTGGTGTTCAATATTTCTGTTACGGCCACAAGTAGACCAGACCGACATAAACGAAATGCGTATAGTAAACACGTTAATAATTAAGGTAGCTAATTTTACCTGAGTATATACGTCGCACCAAAAATGTTTAACTTTAGTCAGCAATATATCAATTATAAGCATAGACACAGTTTTCTGCATTTCTGGTAATGTATCCTAACTTGTTTATATATGTAATCTAAATGTAATATCGATCATTGGGTTGAAATTCATCGTAATAATCCAAGTATAATCTGCTACAAGCTGTCTTGTTTGATACGCGCCATAGTTTCAAGGAGACCTGGCAAATGTAATAATTTCAGTTTCATCAAATCTGCTGGGCTTCTAATATAATCATTGTATACGTTTTCTTGGGAGCATAGCTCTATGCGGCAATCCATATTGAATTTCGTCTAGAAGGCTTTCACTGACATCTTCTTATCGAAGCAATGTTTCATATCGTAATATGTAATTATTATGCAAAGAGGGAGATACTACTTAGAGTGAGCTACGTGGAGGGAGATCATATAAAGGTATATTGGACAGCAAAATGAAGCGACAAATATTAATCCAGAATATAAATATCACGTGCCCCTTTTCGCTATGCTGTTAAATAACGCACAGCACGGACATACCAACATACGCGCATACACACGCGCACGTACCTACACAAGAATATACGCACGCACGCACACTCGTGCATGCACACACATGTATATTTACTGCATACACGCATACATACACCAACATATAAGCCATGTGCTATTGTAATTGCTAGTTTTCACTCATATACAGCCAAAGCCGACGCCCATAGATTAACGTGGATATCGGGCATTTCTACACTATTTAGGTCAAGGGGACATGTATGCGTTTACTATTCTAGCAAACGTATCTGCCAGTTGTGTCGTAGAAAAATGCAGTTTGTCCAGCTTGCTGCCGTGTAGTAGCTAGTAGTCGGACAGGTTTAGGTCCGTATATATCGAAGGCACTGTGAACGACGACGATATATACTTGGTTTTATCCTCCCGTCACTGAACCAAGCTAGAAGTCCTGAATCCTGTTCCTAACGCTGAAGTTGCCGTGTCCGACAAAATGACATTGACATTCTTTTCGATTCCAATTTTGCACGCATGAAAAAATACGCGCAGTGCAAATTACCTTAACGATGTAACGATAGTGATTCCCAGCGTCGAGACTATCTAACGCCTCTAACGCCTAAAACGCTTACCGCACTCAATAATTAACACGCTACTGCTAGTGTTGTTTATATGAGCAAGCATGTATGCAAGTTATAATATATATATATATATTTTATATATATATATATATATATATATATATATATATATATATATATATATAGGTAGAGCTAATTGAAAAGTAAATTATTATCACAGGAAACCTAATAATAAAATCAAATTCGCAATTTTTATTAATGTAAAAATTATATTTATGGTGTCAATCCCTACTTCAACCATTGCCTTGAACCGCGTATAGATAGATATTATTGTTTATTCGATTGCTTGTGATGTTTCGAGCGAGCAGTATTCTCGAGATCAATGCTATGCAAGACTGCAGGGCTAATTGCGCGTACGCTAGTACCAAATAATAGCTTTTAACTCCGAAGGCACCGATAACAACAAGTCACCGATGAGCGAAGGAATGCTGCTGGTAGAACACGGACCTTGAGTAACGACTATGTAGACCATCAAAGGCAATACCACAGAGACTCTTATACTATGTGGCCATACCATTTGGTGTGCACCTACTTGTTTACACCAGCTTGACTAGGAGGATCGTCCTTGCTAGAGTATGTCCGAATGGTGCCACAGCCTTGTATTGCTTTTACGAGTAGATCGGAAATTCAGAAAGACGAATGGGTGACAGTGTTTAAACGATATGTTAATTATAACGATAATAGACAGTTAATGGATACATATTATACTGCCAATCGTAAGGTATACCAAACGAAATCCATTCCACTTCATCTGGTAACACGTAGGCCTACATAGAAATTTCTTTCGAGCCGACGACCTTCGGCATTTGTCCGTGAACCCGAAATGATTGCCATATATAAATAATATGACGCAGCATAATCCACACTATCGCCAAAATTATTCATTTCCTACGACGCAGAAGGGGTTATCACGTTGCTTCAAACTCGCGTGTTACGTAGTAATGACGTACATTTGGAACCCTGCTATGACACGTTAACTGGAGTCCAAGAATCTCAATCGCATTGAATTCGTGCACGCGTTATGGCGCGAGTTTTTATTATGTCAGATTTCCTGTTAGTCAAGAATACTTGTATAAAACAGCGATTTTTATGCTGTTATCGCCCTGTTACGACCAATGTACACGTAAAAATACAAAATACGCGCAAAATAACGTAAAAGAAGCAGAGAAAAGAAGAGAAAGGGGAGCCTATAATAACGACCATGATGGCGTTGAATCCTAGTTCGTATTATTCAGTACGGGCCTGTTATAGCAGAGATCTACTGTATTGTATTTAATGCGTATCTCTATGTGAATTTGCAGCTGCAGCGGATGACGACGATCCACCTCAATATGCGTCGAATTACTGTGCTACTAGCCTGGGTGGATTTATGGGCCACCAGTGGAACTGTAACGTATTCTACCAGTGCGAACACAAGAAGGCGACCCGGCTGTTGTGCTCAAAAGGTGTGTTCAAACATTTTCTGCATTTATTTCTGTCAAATTCTTTTGTATTTTTTTCTTTCCGAGTTTTATGTGTTTGAGTACTGCACGTGCATAGAAAACAAAATACACGTGTATAAACTTCACGAATACATTTAAATTGATTACGCTACACTTCGCACGCACACACACGTACCAACCAACTAAACCGGATTCAAAATCAGGTTAAATAAAATGAAGCTAATAAAATGGAAATGGGCGTTCTCTCTAACGCTAAGATTTATCTACGACGTGCCGTTAAATATTTCGCCGCATATCGAATCGATGTACGTTAAAATAACTAAACGTCTAAACGTCTAAATAACTATAATGTAATTTAAAATATAATAGAAAACATACATCATCATAAAGTAACATCGACTACCATAGAATATAGTAGTAATAGTTTGCTAATAGCAAATAAGACGTGATTTGCTCCCGTTTTTACAGATACGTTTTTCGACACGACGCTGAACCGATGCAGAATTGCGGCCGACGTTAAGAGCAACGACTGCGACATCGACGCGTATCTCGCGCGCATGGAAGCGGCGGACAGCGAACCGGAACCGGAACCGGAACAGACGCCCAACGAGGTCGCGCCAAAGAAACAGCTGAAGTCTAAGGATGGGAAGAACGCTGCATCTGCCATCAGCTCAATGGCTGTCGTCTGCTTGTTCTGCGTTATTCTGAGTCTCTAGATGAGAAGGAAAGCACCCACTACCAGGCTTGCACGCTAGCGTGTTGATGAGCACCAGACAAGTTCTAGCACCTTCAATGTAAATGGCCACTAAATGGTTGTTTAGACACAACGTGTAACGCTGCAGGGCAGCTTAACTTAACGAACGAAATCTGAATTCGCTGGAACAGCGCTTTAATAACAATATGTTATGCACATCTACTCAATGATTGTTTCTGTAGTAGCGGACCCCCTGTTTGAGCCTGCACAAGCCACACATCGGTCTTTTGCAGGTGCCGAGGTCTGCTACGCAGGTTATCACAGTGACTATAACTATGCTATGTTTCGTCCCATTCTAGAGGTTTTGCGTTCTGATCCTATGAGGCAGTTTCAGGGTTGTGCGTTTTCGGTGATATCAACAGTAAATTCTACACAATATCAGACTTCCGACAATTGCTGCAATTATACGAATAATACCGGATGTATAAAATACCGTTAAAAATAGAAAAAAAGTCCGAGTTTATCGCACCATGTGTCTTTATATATTCGGACACGGTATTAGTCTGCAAGAAAGTCTGCAAGTGAGAATTTACACGTTTCTGCAATGCACATGCAGTCTTGAATATGATTAATTGCTACTGAGTCTAGCAAAACGTAAATAACGAACCTATGACGGAATGACCCGCTCGTTGATAGGATTAGGCCTACTAGATAGAGCCCACCGAATTTCATTAGTGATCTATAGCGAATAATATGGCCATCACTCTTCATAGATAATTTATCTAGAAAAATTCTTCCAAGTATTAAGATTTAATAAAAATCACTGATGAGTTATATATTTATTATGCAAAGTTGTAATGAAGTTAGGGACAAAATTTTCCTGAATACCTACCAACAATATGTTGTATAATTGCATTTTTACATGGTTTTCCAACTCGAACTTACAATAAACAGTTTACACTATAGGTTTGTTTGTTTTTAACTTTTAATCACTCATTTTTCACACCCATACAAATTATGGACAAACTATTCATATTTATGACATGAAACAAATAGCACAATCGGAATCCATTACAACAGTTATGTGCTCTTGATGATATTCAGCTAAGAGGAATTTAATCAGCAATGTAAAAAAAAGCTACTGTTCTTTCAGCAGTTAGATAATAAAACGAGCCAAACTTACACACTCCCCGAGTCTATTGACGGTTTATACCGCTATTATTTTCTTACCTCTATAGTGATAAAATGCATTGATGGTGGTGGTTGGATACTGTACCTCAAAACAGGTGTCTACACAAATACCCGAAACATGTCAGTCAATTAATATCACTTCTTACAAAACAGGACGAACCTGCCACTCACTGCACTTGAACAGGAGCAAATAATATCAAACCAATGGTTGTGTGAATTGAGATATCTGAATGCCAAAAATAATAATCTATCCACTTTTAAGTAAGAAAGTAAATTAAATAAAAAAAAGTAAATTTTGGAATAACATAATCAGACTTCATAGTTCAACGTGGTAAATTTAATACTGTGATAAATCATTAGGTGCAACAGTTTTCACCAACTGATTTGTTGTCTTTTTCAAGTGGCCCTTACAGTTAGCTAACCAATAGAACCTGCCTCACATTGTCACATCACCTACTGACACCTAGTGGTGGTCTCGAGAAACTGTCAAAACAGCTCGAAACAAACAACCGACCATTTGTCGAAAAACTGTCGTATTAGGAAGACTCATCACAGAATTGAACGAACTATTAATAATTAAAAAAAGAGCACAATTTGTTAGGTTTCTGTGCGGGTGCGTGGGACTACGGTAAAGTTATGTACAAGTTAGTGGCGTGCTACTCAGCTGGACACCTGACGTGGGCTGTGTGCTGGGTACTGCCGGGGCGTCAGTGCCCCGCCTGCCTGTCGTGGACTCCCGGAGCCGGGACTGTGGCTGCCGGCAGCCTGCCTCGGGCTGCTCGACGCACTTCCCATAAACGACTGAGCGGCTGTCCCTCGGGGATTCAGCGACAGCTGCCTGGGGCTGTGCGCACCGCTGCCCCGAGGACTTAGGCTCGGCCTCTCCGCACCGCCAGCACCTTTCGGACTCGACCGCTCCGCCTGACGGTGACTCGACGCGTCTCCGTCAGTGCCACCTGCTAGCGAGTGCAGTCCTGCGCGGTGCGCGGCAAGTTCCGCGGTCGTCTTCGCCGTCTGCTCCGCGTGAAGCAGCTCCTGCTCCAGGCGCTTGTGGCGTGCCATGTCCTTCATCACCTGGTTGAGACTGGCGACCCTCTTCGGCGCACCGTGCGACAGCCTCGCGCTTCCTGCAAGCGTGCACAGCGGTGTCAGACTACGTTGCCACGATGGGAGCGAAATCATCGCCAAAGGCGAGTGCTACACTTTTAATCACTCATTTTTCACACGCATACAAATTATGGACAACTATTAATATTTATGACATGATACAAATAGCACAATCCATTACAACAGTTATATACCCTTGATGATATTCAGCTAAGAGGAATTTAACTCAGACTACGTTGCCACGATGGGAACGAAATCGTCGCCAAAGGCGAGTGGTACATGAATGAATATGAGTTGCGTCATGACGGAACGCGTCCCACTTTATGATTTTACGAATGTCTCCGTTACAGTTAACAATTCATTTCAGATTATCTTCTTCAGCAGACTTCAGTCAGGATCATAACTGATAATGCGGTGATTGGCTGTGACGAAACAGTTACAAATAGCTATTCAAGAAGTTTTGTGACATACTCGGAGTCCGTCTAGGTGTAATTGACACCGAAGTCTCAAAGCCAAAATCTTCATCAAAGTCAAACTCAGTCGATTCTTCAATTCTGTGGATAGCAATAAAAAACATGATGACTGAATATAACATGATATAAACTGATGATTATAACATGATATAAACTGATGATTATAACATGATATAAACTGATGATTATAACATGATATAAACTGATGATTATAACATGATATAAACTGATGATTATAACATGATATAAACTGATGATTATAACATGATATAAACTGATGATTATAACATGATATAAACTGATGATTATAACATGATAATAATAATAATCAGAAGAAGAAGAATAGCAATGACTGAAATTAGGACAAAGTGCATAACAACACTGCTATTATTAAATATTTATGCCAATTAAGAACAAACTTATTTTCAATTAATTTTGCTAAATCCCATTAAGACATTATACATGTTAAATTAGAGATGCAAGTACGGTGATTACTTACTTTTCCTCTGAGTCATCAGTACCTATAGGGAGATGGTCATCAGTGCCAGTGTCAGGCGTTGGTGGCCTCCTACACACATACAAGACAATTCATTGCTTCTTCATGTACTAGTAAAAACAGCTCCAGCCAGATCAGTATTAACCAATAGGTGAGGTGATACCAGCAGGAACAGTGTTACCAACAAGTAAGGTAACTACAGCATGATAAGTATTTAACAATCTGTAAGGAGAATATTTATCTGCAGGATCATAAACAGTAAAAGAAAACTGAATTTAGATAAGTTTTCACCAATAAATATATATAGAACTGCAGCGGAATTAATTGTCATCAACAGGTATGGACATTTCACAGTTCCAGCAGGATCAGTCTACAACAGGTAATATCTACTTCAGGCTATACACTGTCATTTTTCATTGCCAGGGAAACACAGCACCAGAGCACCTTAGCACCTTAGTCTAACACTGACAAGATTGCTGCAATCTGCTAGACAATCAAACTGAGGTAATCAGTATTCAGTATTTTTGCATGGCAATGGAATGCATTGTTTCAGGAGTCTATATGGTTCGGTCTTTACCAACGGGTGTGCAGAGGGAAATATTTAGAAGGATGAGTCCTCATCAGTGGTTATAGGCATCAAGTCTCCAGCAGGATCAGCAGGCAAGGATTAGTTCAGGCTCCAGCAAGACAATTTTTCACTGACAGGTAAAACAGACACACATCTGGATAAATTTCGATTTGTATATTGCATGGTGATGAAATGGACAGTTTCCAGGAATCTAGGAATCACTCAGAATGTCAAATTTCAGCTTTAGTCACCTTCCCGGGTTTTTCCACTGCAGTTGTAATACGGGATTCGACTCGATTCTTTTATACAGTTGATAAATTTCTTTGGGGTCAGGGTGCCAGTCATCACCAAGAGATCCATCTGGTTTATAGATCTCATCATCACTGCAGGCAGCAAACCAGTCGTCATCTTGCCCCTGCATGAGGAACTGTGGCCGTGATGCCTCCTATACTTTCTTGTCTGTCAATAATGGTGCTTTCTTGCTGTTGTGTGTATTTGTTAACCTCTTCCCAATCCTGCTTTCTTACTGTTGTGATGATAGCACAGAAAACTAATTGTCTTTGCATATATATATATATACTTTCAGGGGTAGAAATTAACTTTTGAACACGGGAGTCCAACAGACTACGACTCAAAAAGAGGGAGTCCGCAGCAAAATGAGGGAGTCCCCAGTCTGGGTTTCAAAATTAAAGATATTAACAATAGCGCATGTGGTTATTTTTAAGATTCATGAGGTTGCACGTCTGCCAAATTTTCTTTAGACATTAGCTGAAAAAATACGGTAATTCCACGAGGCTAGTTAGTATGGCAGAATTTTCAGGGAGTCACACGGACTCCTGCATATGTCAAATAAGGGAGTCCGACAATAAATCGGGGAGTATTTGTCTCCGGACCCCCGTTAATTTCGCACCATGTATATACTTTCATTTTGCTGTTATCAATGCAAATATGGCGGTGAAACGGAGATACTATGACAACTACTGTAAATCTTGCTTTCCAATATTAAGCTGAGTGACATAGCTTATATACGTCTGCTTACACAAACTCCTATCATTTAAAAGAATATTTACATGTTAGGGAATTCAAATTTAAACAGAATTCCATTCCAGACAATTCCAATGAAACCCTCTGAAACGACTTAACATAGTGTTTCTGTATCATACTCAATGACGAAGTTAGCTATTATTACTTCAACATACGTACAATAACTGTGTACAGGCGTCTATTTCTCGAGTGGTGCGTAGTTGAGCAGCTTCTCTATAAGGTCAACGTGAGAGAGGAGCATGCGGCGGCAGCAGTACCGCCTCAATCCTAGAGCATCCAGAGCATCACCTGTAAAAATGACACGCACAAGAATTTCATTAGCAGCCAGCGCACGGCGAATCCAGCCGCATACTTTGGCTTGTATGCCGTCTGTTTTATGTATTTTATAACGCACTGTCCTCCAGTCAGGGCTGCTTAACACGATTGACGAGGTCCTTTGGGAATAATCTTGTCTCGCCTGATACTTTTCAGAGGTAGAAATAAGGAGAAAAAAGAGATGGTCCACAGGACCATCTAGTTTGAAATTTAGATGGTCCTCCTAAATTTTAAATTGTTCTCTAATAGTAATGTGGCGTGCAAGCGTAAGAAATAGATTTTACATAGTGATAAAATGGTTTAATTATCCACCTACAATGAATGTATTAAACAATACAGTAATTGTTTAATCACTTTAATAGTATATTGGTTAATAAAGTTGTTTCAGTAGAATTTAGTTAAACCCATAACACCGGAATTATGTACTCCGTGTTCTTTACATTTCACAAGAAGTTCTCCTGTTTCTGTTTGTTGCCCCACGTCACCTCCATGGCATCACGCTTGCACTGCAGTTTTACTCCTCTCGTGGCCTGGAGACACATCTCTCCCAGAAGAAGGTGATCGAGATCGCTTCGTGGATTTAATAAAGGTGTCTGTCTTTTTATCAGCAAGGGTACTGCAGAGCTTGGGAAGAATGTTAACCAGCAAATCCTGGCTTGCTCTCTCGACGCAGTTGAGGAAGGGCATTGTGACCATGTACGAAAAATTAGCAAGTGCTTTGAATCCTGCTATTATGAAATCGTTCTCAAGGTAAATCTTACATGCTCGAACAAGAAGATTATTTAGCGGTGTCTGCAAAAGTAGTTGTTTGAGGTTAGGAATGCAATCATAGACCGCACCTGCCTGGTATCCGAGTCTATTAAAACGTTTCTCTTTGTAGAGGCTAAACGACTAGTGTACCACAGCCTCCTCTAGCATCAAGTCAAACTGTTCTACTAGTGATGTTGTCTTCCCATCTCCCTCGTGTGATACGAGCTTTAGAAGAGCAGTTACAACAACAGATTTATCATTTACTTTGCCGAAAAAATGACTTCAACGCTGGCTCTCTGCCCAATCAGTTTGCGAAGGCCAATCTTGTCCTCAATGGCAGCCATGGTCGTGAGGTTGTCTACATCAGACCGTTCACATGTATGCGACTTACAAAGCAAGTGGTGTGGCACATGCTTTGAGCCAAGTAGTTCTGCAACACCTGTCTTTATCTTGAGATTTTTGCTCACAGCATCTGTCATCAGAGCATCAATCTGCTCCCAGGGATGTACAACAGTCCAGCTAGGGTCATTGGCAGCTATCTGCAGTCTCTTCCTGAAGGGTCTCAACAATAAGTGCCACTATCTAGTCCCTCTCTTCAAAAGCAAAGAAGAGAGGACGTAGAGAGATCGCGTCGGATCCGCAGCAACCTTTTTAGTTTCCTATGGAAATTATGTGGTTAAATTTGACCCCAAAATATATTTCTGGACCAGTATTTCTGCTTTTATGATTTTCTAATTATGTTTATGACTTTATGTGTCCTAAATAACCCCAGAATAACTTTTTATATGAAGTGTCTACTCAAAGCAGAACCTGAGATATGAGATAAACTCCATTTCCGCCACAAATATAAGGTATGGAAACACAAGTAGGCACTGCACACTTTTTTCTTAGACCCCAGACCAAAAATTTTGTCATTTCATGTTGAGACAGGTAAAATGGAACACACAAAAACTCGGCCCTAAGCAAAACAAAAAATGACCCATGTATAGCCCACTCCTATTAACAGGGCGCGAAATTAGCACCGGCCCACCAGCATATGCCGGCAAATAACTTGAAGGGCCAGTAACATTGACAAAACACCGGCCCTGCGAGCCAGTGGGTTCAGCCGTGTTAGCGAGTACCTACATTTTTATTTATAGCATTAACGAGCAAATAGCCTACAAGGTTTTACCTGAAGGATATCACGCCATAATTTATCAACATTTTACACATTTGGAATCGAGAATGCAAGCGTGAAACATGACATTGGCAAAAACACTTCGGACATCATTCACGATCTGTATTATAGTCTGTTCAACAGCTACTACGCAATGCTGCACACTACAACATTTTCTGGACAAGCAAGAGTCAGTGAAACAGACTTATCTATATTTTTGAAAAAAAAATATTTTTGAGGGCTGGTCAAAAACTGCTGTTACCATGAAGCCCTCTGGGCCGGTGCAAAAAATCAGAATTTCATGCCCTGCTTAAGAATAAAGTGGTTTGCATCTGTTGGCTAACCTAACCAGGTTCAATAAAGAAATGCAGTTATCCAGAAATTTTTGAATAGAAAATGTATGGGTCAAAGTAATAGGAGAAGAATTTAGGTAATTTCATTTCTGCTTGTCATTGTCTTTTGTAATCATATTTTATGTATGAAACATAATTTGCGTGTGTGTGTGTGTGCATATACATGTGCAAAAGTCTTGGGTACGTAGTATGTTGCATGCTGCACACAGCCTACCTAATAAACTATAATACCATGTCCACATACCTGGCATTTCCTGCAGAAATGGAAGGGCTCTCACAGTAGACTAAAACATTTGGGTAAAAATTTGCTTATTTAGTGTTCTTACACACTAACTTCACACATTCATTTTTCTTGTGACCAACATCATAGATCACATTCCCTAAAATCATTTCTGCCAGTATGATAGCAACTTGCTCTCTGCAATTTGCATACAGGTGTGGAGTTATTGCATAAAAATACCAAGTTAATTCATTTTTTATCCTAATATTTTACTCTAACATTAAAGCCCTCCTACTTCTTTGGAAAATAAGGTTTGTCAGAGGTCAACAAGTGCCATAGTTTGTTATGTAGGTTGTGTGCAGGATCTAACACACTACCTGAAGTCTTGCATGCACAGCTCATAAACTATAATGGCCCTACTAATACTATAGTATAACTTAAACTAGTAGTAGTAGTAGTAGTAGTAGTAGTAGTAGTACTACTACTAGTGGTGTGTGAATAAAACCCGGACCCGGACCCGGAAAACCTGCATATATAACCGGACTGGAGTAGAATGTGTTAGGGTTAGGGTTAGGGTCCGGGTTTTATGCAGGTTTTCCGAGTTCGGGTCCGGGTCCGGGTTTTATTCACACCCCTACTTCTACTAGTACTAGTGCTGTAGTAGACTCTACTGACAACAAAGTAGCTCCAAGAAACGGTATTGCTAGAGTTAGAATACCCACTTGTAAGTTGTATAGACAAACCGTCGCACAGCCTGGTCGGGCTAACAACAAAGTAGTCCGCAAATGCAGACGTTATAACTCCGCTTTGCTAATCTGAGAGTGCGGATTTATCGTCTGCAGTCACCCTTGTAAAAATTGTTGCAATTTTTGTTGTGGGCATTGGATAGGTGAATCGAGTAGCACTGAGGGCGTGACGGGAGTATATCCGACCCAAAATATCAAGTACAGACCTTCTGTTTGTCAATATCGCTTTCCGAAGACTTTATCTCCGTTTCAGAACTTTGTTTTCATGCCATAATTCATCCTAGTCAGAGTAACTTCGATATTTTTGGCTATATTGGACAGATTTTTCGATCGACCAATGAAATTCACTTCCGGTAGCCTCGGGTTCACTCGGAAATAATAATTCAAAATAATAATAGATGGTGCGGACTACACATGTACCTACCATCTTTCCTGTTGAACATCGGGAATAGCCGAAGTAACCGGAAGTGATTTTCATTGGTTGACAAATGTGAATGAAGACAGAACATTTTATTTGGATGTTTATATTTACCATTACTTTAGGTTAACAACTTGATATATTCTTATGTTGCACGGCCGCTACCAGGACATCATAGCGTGCATGCATGTAGATAAATTACACTCAGATTAAAGTAAGTTCCACGCAATAGGATTGTATATATCGAGCGCATGTATTACTTATATTATAAGTGCCACCTCCAAACTGGAGGTGGCTTTCCGTGATTGAGATAGACACGGCCGCACACCCCATTAGTCATTACTGGGGTCTGCGTCGGCTCGGACTAACAACAAAGTAGTGATTTTTTTATTATTTTTTTATTTATTTAGGCAATCGTTGTGAGTCACCGTTTTGCGCACTACTCAGTGACTAGCCACTACTAACTACAACTTAGTACAAGTCGTTGTTGGGGTTGTGGGTGGGGGCTACAGAGACATATGGAATTAGTATACAGTAAAGCTATACACACTAGTTTCACAGGGATATCCCAATAAGCCTTATCGCCAATCGGAACAGCAATGCGTCATGGGAT